TGGGGGGGTATCGATCTGTCCGTAAGTTATATCTCACACTAACACCTTGGAAATGTCCTTGAATTCTTTCCAAATGTGTTAGAATTTGGAGGTCACTATGGCCTCACAAATCCCATTGTTAACAATTGATTCAGAGATTTCTCTCTAATGTCCAATAAAAGGAACAATGAAGTTATGACATTTTGGACATACAGTATGAATGAATGTTGACAGATATTTGACGTGTTGGCTGGATCTGGGCTTGTATTTGTCAAGTAACAGAATAAGAAATGAATCACTATTGAACAGAAATTCTCCAACTGATGCAAATTCTGTTTTAGTTTAATGACGCAAATGCAAATAATGTTATTGACTGTAGGAAAAATGACTCCTTTCTCAGGAAACTAATAATGAACCCTTTTAATGTACATAGACATGAATTCAGTTTTTTAGACTATGTATGGCGTTTTGTCCAATTGTTATTAGTTTAAATTCCTTTTGGCAGGTAAATATATCTTATTAAACATCAGTATATCTCTATGCTACATTCACTGACTTCCCCCTCCCGTCGTCCTCCCTTCTATAGCTCCAAAATGCCCCCCCAACAGCCACTACGAGGCCTGTGCAGACCCGTGTCAGGAGACATGCAGCGGGAAACCCCCTTCCTGCGGCGGGCCCTGCTCCGAGTCCTGTGTGTGTGATCCAGGCTACGTCTTGAGCGCCGGCAAGTGCGTCAAGAAGACTTCATGTGGCTGCAAACACGTCAATGGCCAGTACTATGAGGTACAGTGATGTAGGATTGATAAGCCACCAAGGAATTGTGTGTGTGTGTCAGACATTTGTGCATTGTGAGGGTATATAGTGGTCTTCGATTTAGGATTCTTCATCAACTAATGGAGCTCAAATGTGTTTGTGTGTGTGTGTGTGTGTGTGTGTGTGTGTGTGTGTGTGTGTGTGTGTGTGTGTGTGTGTGTATATCAGCCTGGCGACGAGTTCTACGCGGAGGACTGTCGGCTGAAGTGCAGGTGTAATGCTCCCTTCGTCACCTGCAAAGCTACAGAATGTCCCCCAATGCAAGAGTGTAAAAACCAGGACGGAGAGCTGGGCTGCTACCCCACAGGTAGGTTAACACCCAGCGCACTCATCCAAATGAACTGAGCTCGATATGAAAAGTTACATTAATATTAATCATTATTGAACACTGGTGTGCTTGAACATAAGGCTTGTAATTGTTTTGGCTAATCTTGTACTAGTGCAGTATGTGACAATACATACATCTAGGATTTCACATTAAGAAGTGACATCAGAGAATACTACAAGGCCCCTGGTTAGGTAGGATTATCACAGAGCAACAGAACCAGAAGTTTGGAGGAAGATGAGGTAATAAGTTGCGGGTTTGACATGGAACGAACCTTACAACATACTTTAGAAGAATTTCTGTGATTTTCATTGAGGTTTTCATAGTTGATATGTTTACAACACAGAACATATCCCTAATCTGGGTTCAAATAATAACCAGTCTTCTTCCCACCTAAACCATCAACCCCAGGCCCAACCACACCAAAACCATCCACTCCCGGCCCAACTACACCCAAACCCACAACTCCTAGGCCAACTACTCCTGGACCAACAACACCAAAGCCACCAAGTATGACAAACCTTTTTGTTTTGTTAACAACAACACTTTTACAATGATTTTGATGATGATGTTACATTTTGCCCAAATACCACTTTACTTTCCTTTCTACTTTACAGAACCCTGCCCTCCCGATTCAGAGTATATAGAATGTGGTCCAGCTTGTATCCCCACCTGTATGGAGCCTTCTACCAACTGCTCTGGCTCCTGCATCAGTGGCTGCTTCTGCAAACCAGGTTTTGTCTTCAAGGGACGGCACTGTGTCCCATTGGAGAAATGTGGCTGTCTGGATGACCACAATAACTATTATGAGGTCAGATATCCTTGTGACTACAACTACATGCATACATTTGTGTGATTTCATGTGTATTGGTTATTAGTAAATGACAAGAAGGTTGTTCTATATAGGTCTAGTGACAAACGGTGCTCTTGGTTGATCCCTATGCCAATTCTGTTTTAGCCTGGCGAGATTATATTTGGAGATGGCTGCTCAAAGCTATGTCGCTGTGCTGGGAACTACACTTTGGAATGTGTTGACAACTCATGTGACCCCACAGAAGAATGTCGCGATGTTAATGGTGTTGCAGGTTGCTATCCTAAAGGTAATGGTATCTGTTAAATTGTCGAGGAATTGCCATATTAATTGCTGCTTGCAGTTGTCCAAAAACTGTTACGTACACTATGACGTGCAGTCGGTCAAACAATCTGAAATTGGCTATACTAGTTCTGGTGAATCTCTGCTGGATTATTCTTACTAATGTTAGAAAGCTGCGTAACTGATATTACTCTGAGTCAGCTTGTAGACGTTATCACGCTTCTCTACTCGTACTAGTTTGTTTCACAATTTAGCATGAACAAAATAACTGCTAACATACAGTTTTTTCATACCGTAGATACGTCCACGTGCATAGCGAGTGGTGATCCCCACTACACGACTTTTGACAAACGCAACTACAACTTCATGGGCAATTGTAGCTACTTGATGTCTCGACCCTGCAATGAAACAACTCTTCCACACTTTGAGGTCCATGCGGACAATGAAAATCGGTTTAACCGTCCCACCATCTCCTATGTGAAGGCCGTGCATGTATATGTTCACACGGTGAAGATCTCCATTCTCAAAGGGGGAACTGTGCAGGTAATAAACGTGGGGGGGGAAAGACAGTGTGCAGCCCGGGCTCCTAAAACTGTAAACATAATCCGTTCAAATACGTCTTAACATCGTTAAAAATGTTGTTGAGAATGTTGTTGAGAATGCAATCTAATTCCACAGCAACCACAGCGTGAAAACAGTGATACTATTTTTAAATGTATGGTATTTTTACCAGAACATCCTGAAATAATGGAAATAATAATAATTTCATGCAGACAATACAACTTTTGCTTTTATTAATTAATTGCTAATATTAACTTTTAGCTTTCAAGTTTTTTCTATCATTTACTGTTTCTGTTTCCTCCGTCACCATTTATTGTCTTTATTGGACCTACTTCTCCCGCACAGGTGAATGGGACTAATGTAAACCTGCCAATTACGCCGGCCTCTGGGGTCTCTGTGTTCAAGTCGGGAAAGCACTACACTGTGTCCATGGACTTTGGTGTGACAGTTCGTTATGATGGAAACCACTTCATGGACATCAAAGTGATCAAAGAGTAAATAAAGCCTGACGTTAACATTTTTTCTCAACGTCACGGACAAGTGACGTGATATTGACAATAAAGTCTGATAATCAGTAAAAAGAACTTTTGCACTTAATTGTTCCCCTTCACCAATAACTAACTTGCAGATTTTCTTGCAGCTACAAGAACAAATTGTGTGGACTGTGTGGAGATTACGATGGATACGCGGAAGATGACTTCCGTAAACCAGATGGATCATTGACCAACAGTGCTAATGACTTTGGACACAGCTGGAACACTGATCCCGAGTGAGTAGCATTATGTTTATTATACATTATTTTCTTTTAAATGCCGTTTTGATATAAATAATATTGAATGAGTTAGGTATCTACTAAACAGATGGCTACTCATTGATCACCTCTTTGTTAGAATTATTACGGGACAAAAACTAACTAACACTAACACACACAGCTTCTCAAACTGGCTATATGTGTTGACAGGTGTAACAAGCAACCCAACACCACCATCCCCGAGTGTGAGGAAGGAGAGCAGGAACTGTATGAGAGCTCTGGATACTGTGGCATCCTGCTGGACAAAAAGGGTCCCTTCGCTGTGTGCCACCCCAAAGTCAACCCAAATGTAAGTCGCACAAACACACAGCTATACAGTATGCAGTGATACAAAGCAGTTTCCATTTTTGAACTAACTTTGTGTTGGTGTTTGTGTGTGTGTGTGTGTGTGTGTGTGTGTGTGTGTGTGTGTGTGTGTGTGTGTGTGTGTGTGTGTGTGTGTGTGTGAGTTCAGAATTACTTCAAGGACTGTATCTTGACCTGATGAGCTGGATGAGCCAGCCATTCTGTGTGAGCCATAAGGCCTATGTTAATGAATGTCAGGACCTATGGCGTGAACATTGGACCATGGTGGAATGAAACATTTTGCTGTGAGTTTTGGGTAGAAGAACGGATGTAGAAACGGCAGATGGAGGGATTTGGGAGGGGAAGATAGGTTACTGTGGAGCCACTTCTTAAGGCTCAGTGAGGTTTTGGGGGGGTATCGATCTGTCCGTAAGTTATATCTCACACTAACACCTTGGAAATGTCCTTGAATTCTTTCCAAATGTGTTAGAATTTGGAGGTCACTATGGCCTCACAAATCCCATTGTTAACAATTGATTCAGAGATTTCTCTCTAATGTCCAATAAAAGGAACAATGAAGTTATGACATTTTGGACATACAGTATGAATGAATGTTGACAGATATTTGACGTGTTGGCTGGATCTGGGCTTGTATTTGTCAAGTAACAGAATAAGAAATGAATCACTATTGAACAGAAATTCTCCAACTGATGCAAATTCTGTTTTAGTTTAATGACGCAAATGCAAATAATGTTATTGACTGTAGGAAAAATGACTCCTTTCTCAGGAAACTAATAATGAACCCTTTTAATGTACATAGACATGAATTCAGTTTTTTAGGCTATGTATGGCGTTTTGTCCAATTGTTCATAGTTTAAATTCCTTTTGGCAGGTAAATATATCTTATTAAACATCAGTATATCTCTATGCTACATTCACTGACTTCCCCCTCCCGTCGTCCTCCCTACTATAGCTCCAAAATGCCCCCCCAACAGCCACTACGAGGCCTGTGCAGACCCGTGTCAGGAGACATGCAGCGGGAAACCTCCTTCCTGCGGCGGGCCCTGCTCCGAGTCCTGTGTGTGTGATCCAGGCTACGTCTTGAGCGCCGGCAAGTGCGTCAAGAAGACTTCATGTGGCTGCACACACGTCAATGGCCAGTACTACGAGGTACAGTGATGTAGGATTGATAAGCCACCAAGGAATTGTGTGTGTGTGTCAGACATTTGTGCATTGTGAGGGTCTTCGATTTAGGATTCTTCATCAACTAACGGAGCTCAAATGTGTGTGTGCGTGTGTGTACATCAGCCTGGCGACGAGTTCTACGCGGAGGACTGTAGGCTGAAGTGCAGGTGTAATGCTCCCTTCGTCACCTGCAAAGCTACGGAATGTCCCCCAATGCAAGAGTGTAAAAACCAGGACGGAGAGCTGGGCTGCTACCCCACAGGTAGGTTAACACCCAGCGCACTCATCCAAATGAACTGAGCTTGATATGAAAAGTTACATTAATATTAATCATTATTGAACACTGGTGTGCTTGAACATAAGGCTTGTAATTGTTTTGGCTAATCTTGTACTAGTGCAGTATGTGACAATACATACATCTAGGATTTCACATTAAGAAGTGACATCAGAGAATACTACAAGGCCCCTGGTTAGGTATGATTATCACAGAGCAACAGAACCAGAAGTTTGGAGGAAGATGAGGTAATAAGTTGCGGGTTTGACATGGAACGAACCTTACAACATACTTTAGAAGAATTTCTGTGATTTTCATTGAGGTTTTCATAGTTGATATGTTTACAACACAGAACATATCCCTAATCTGGGTTCAAATAATAACCAGTCTTCTTCCCACCTAAACCATCAACCCCAGGCCCAACCACACCAAAACCATCCACTCCCGGCCCAACTACACCCAAACCCACAACTCCTAGGCCAACTACTCCTGGACCAACAACACCAAAGCCACCAAGTATGACAAACCTTTTTGTTTTGTTAACAACAACACTTTTACAATGATTTTGATGATGATGTTACATTTTGCCCAAATACCACTTTACTTTCCTTTCTACTTTACAGAACCCTGCCCTCCCGATTCAGAGTATATAGAATGTGGTCCAGCTTGTATCCCCACCTGTATGGAGCCTTCTACCAACTGCTCTGGCTCCTGCATCAGTGGCTGCTTCTGCAAACCAGGTTTTGTCTTCAAGGGACGGCACTGTGTCCCATTGGAGAAATGTGGCTGTCTGGATGACCACAATAACTATTATGAGGTCAGATATCCTTGTGACTACAACTACATGCATACATTTCTGTGATTTCATGTGTATTGGTTATTAGTAAATGACAAGAAGGTTGTTCTATATAGGTCTAGTGACAAACGGTGCTCTTGGTTGATCCCTATGCCAATTCTGTTTTAGCCTGGCGAGATTATATTTGGAGATGGCTGCTCAAAGCTATGTCGCTGTGCTGGGAACTACACTTTGGAATGTGTTGACAACTCATGTGACCCCACAGAAGAATGTCGCGATGTTAATGGTGTTGCAGGTTGCTATCCTAAAGGTAATGGTATCTGTTAAATTGTCGAGGAATTGCCATATTAATTGCTGCTTGCAGTTGTCCAAAAACTGTTACGTACACTATGACGTGCAGTCGGTCAAACAATCTGAAATTGGCTATACTAGTTCTGGTGAATCTCTGCTGGATTATTCTTACTAATGTTAGAAAGCTGCGTAACTGATATTACTCTGAGTCAACTTGTAGACGTTATCACGCTTCTCTACTCGTACTAGTTTGTTTCACAATTTAGCATGAACAAAATAACTGCTAACATACAGTTTTTTCATACCGTAGATACGTCCACGTGCATAGCGAGTGGTGATCCCCACTACACGACTTTTGACAAACGCAACTACAACTTCATGGGCAATTGTAGCTACTTGATGTCTCGACCCTGCAATGAAACAACTCTTCCACACTTTGAGGTCCATGCGGACAATGAAAATCGGTTTAACCGTCCCACCATCTCCTATGTGAAGGCCGTGCATGTATATGTTCACACGGTGAAGATCTCCATTCTCAAAGGGGGAACTGTGCAGGTAATAAACGTGGGGGGGAAACGACAGTGTGCAGCCCGGGCTCCTAAAACTGTAAACATAATCCGTTCAAATACGTCTTAACATCGTTAAAAATGTTGTTGAGAATGCTGTTGAGAATGCAATCTAATTCCACAGCAACCACAGCGTGAAAACAATGGTACTATTTTCAAATGTATGGTATTTTTACCAGAACATCCTGAAATAATGGAAATAATAAGAATTTCATGCAGACAACACAACTTTTGCTTTTATTAATTAATTGCTAATATTAACTTTTAGCTTTCAAGTTTTTTCTATCATTTACTGTTTCTGTTTCCTCCGTCACCATTTATTGTCTTTATTGGACCTACTTCTCCCGCACAGGTGAATGGGACTAATGTAAACCTGCCAATTACGCCGGCCTCTGGGGTCTCTGTGTTCAAGTCGGGAAAGCACTACACTGTGTCCATGGACTTTGGTGTGACAGTTCGTTATGATGGAAACCACTTCATGGACATCAAAGTGATCAAAGAGTAAATAAAGCCTGACGTTAACATTTTTTCTCAACGTCACGGACAAGTGACGTGATATTGACAATAAAGTCTGATAATCAGTAAAAAGAACTTTTGCACTTAATTGTTCCCCTTCACCAATAACTAACTTGCAGATTTTCTTGCAGCTACAAGAACAAATTGTGTGGACTGTGTGGAGATTACGATGGATACGCGGAAGATGACTTCCGTAAACCAGATGGATCATTGACCAACAGTGCTAATGACTTTGGACACAGCTGGAACACTGATCCCGAGTGAGTAGCATTATGTTTATTATACATTATTTTCTTTTAAATGCCGTTTTGATATAAATAATATTGAATGAGTTGGGTATCTACTAAACAGATGGCTACTCATTGATCACCTCTTTGTTAGAATTATTACGGGACAAAAACTAACTAACACTAACACACACAGCTTCTCAAACTGGCTATATGTGTTGACAGGTGTAACAAGCAACCCAACACCACCATCCCCGAGTGTGAGGAAGGAGAGCAGGAACTGTATGAGAGCTCTGGATACTGTGGCATCCTGCTGGACAAAAAGGGTCCCTTCGCTGTGTGCCACCCCAAAGTCAACCCAAATGTAAGTCGCACAAACACACAGCTATACAGTATGCAGTGATACAAAGCAGTTTCCATTTTTGAACTAACTTTGTGTTGGTGTTTGTGTGTGTGTGTGTGTGTGTGTGTGTGTGTGTGTGTGTGTGTGTGTGTGTGTGTGTGTGTGTGTTTGTGTGTGTGTGTGTGTGTGTGTGTGTGTGTGTGTGTTCAGAATTACTTTAAGGACTGTATCTTTGACCTGTGTGAGCTGGATGGAGCCAAGCCCATTCTGTGTGAAGCCATAGAGGCCTATGTTAATGAATGTCAGGACCGTGGCGTGAACATTGGACCATGGAGGAATGAAACATTTTGCTGTGAGTTTTGGGTAGAAGAACGGATGTAGAAACGGCAGATGGAGGGATTTGGGAGGGGAAGATAGGTTACTGTGGAGCCACTTCTTAAGGCTCAGTGAGGTTTTGGGGGGGTATCGATCTGTCCGTAAGTTATATCTCACACTAACACCTTGGAAATGTCCTTGAATTCTTTCCAAATGTGTTAGAATTTGGAGGTCACTATGGCCTCACAAATCCCATTGTTAACAATTGATTCAGAGATTTCTCTCTAATGTCCAATAAAAGGAACAATGAAGTTATGACATTTTGGACATACAGTATGAATGAATGTTGACAGATATTTGACGTGTTGGCTGGATCTGGGCTTGTATTTGTCAAGTAACAGAATAAGAAATGAATCACTATTGAACAGAAATTCTCCAACTGATGCAAATTCTGTTTTAGTTTAATGACGCAAATGCAAATAATGTTATTGACTGTAGGAAAAATGACTCCTTTCTCAGGAAACTAATAATGAACCCTTTTAATGTACATAGACATGAATTCAGTTTTTTAGGCTATGTATGGCGTTTTGTCCAATTGTTCATAGTTTAAATTCCTTTTGGCAGGTAAATATATCTTATTAAACATCAGTATATCTCTATGCTACATTCACTGACTTCCCCCTCCCGTCGTCCTCCCTACTATAGCTCCAAAATGCCCCCCCAACAGCCACTACGAGGCCTGTGCAGACCCGTGTCAGGAGACATGCAGCGGGAAACCTCCTTCCTGCGGCGGGCCCTGCTCCGAGTCCTGTGTGTGTGATCCAGGCTACGTCTTGAGCGCCGGCAAGTGCGTCAAGAAGACTTCATGTGGCTGCACACACGTCAATGGCCAGTACTACGAGGTACAGTGATGTAGGATTGATAAGCCACCAAGGAATTGTGTGTGTGTGTCAGACATTTGTGCATTGTGAGGGTCTTCGATTTAGGATTCTTCATCAACTAACGGAGCTCAAATGTGTGTGTGCGTGTGTGTACATCAGCCTGGCGACGAGTTCTACGCGGAGGACTGTAGGCTGAAGTGCAGGTGTAATGCTCCCTTCGTCACCTGCAAAGCTACGGAATGTCCCCCAATGCAAGAGTGTAAAAACCAGGACGGAGAGCTGGGCTGCTACCCCACAGGTAGGTTAACACCCAGCGCACTCATCCAAATGAACTGAGCTCGATATGAAAAGTTACATTAATATTAATCATTATTGAACACTGGTGTGCTTGAACATAAGGCTTGTAATTGTTTTGGCTAATCTTGTACTAGTGCAGTATGTGACAATACATACATCTAGGATTTCACATTAAGAAGTGACATCAGAGAATACTACAAGGCCCCTGGTTAGGTATGATTATCACAGAGCAACAGAACCAGAAGTTTGGAGGAAGATGAGGTAATAAGTTGCGGGTTTGACATGGAACGAACCTTACAACATACTTTAGAAGAATTTCTGTGATTTTCATTGAGGTTTTCATAGTTGATATGTTTACAACACAGAACATATCCCTAATCTGGGTTCAAATAATAACCAGTCTTCTTCCCACCTAAACCATCAACCCCAGGCCCAACCACACCAAAACCATCCACTCCCGGCCCAACTACACCCAAACCCACAACTCCTAGGCCAACTACTCCTGGACCAACAACACCAAAGCCACCAAGTATGACAAACCTTTTTGTTTTGTTAACAACAACACTTTCACAATGATTTTGATGATGATGTTACATTTTGCCCAAATACCACTTGCCTTTCCTTTCTACTTTACAGAACCTTGCCCTCCCGATTCAGAGTATATAGAATGTGGTCCAGCTTGTATCCCCACCTGTATGGAGCCTTCTACCAACTGCTCTGGCTCCTGCATCAGTGGCTGCTTCTGCAAACCAGGTTTTGTCTTCAAGGGACGGCACTGTGTCCCATTGGAGAAATGTGGCTGTCTGGATGACCACAATAACTATTATGAGGTCAGATATCCTTGTGACTACAACTACATGCATACATTTGTGTGATTTCATGTGTATTGGTTATTAGTAAATGACAAGAAGGTTGTTCTATATAGGTCTAGTGACAAACGGTGCTCTTGGTTGATCCCTATGCCAATTCTGTTTTAGCCTGGCGAGATTATATTTGGAGATGGCTGCTCAAAGCTATGTCGCTGTGCTGGGAACTACACTTTGGAATGTGTTGACAACTCATGTGACCCCACAGAAGAATGTCGCGATGTTAATGGTGTTGCAGGTTGCTATCCTAAAGGTAATGGTATCTGTTAAATTGTCGAGGAATTGCCATATTAATTGCTGCTTGCAGTTGTCCAAAAACTGTTACGTACACTAGGACGTACAGTCGGTCAAACAATCTGAAATTGGCTATTCTAGTTCTGGTGAATCTCTGCTGGATTATTCTTACTAATGTTAGAAAGCTGCGTAACTGATATTACTCTGAGTCAGCTTGTAGACGTTATCACGCTTCTCTACTCGTACTAGTTTGTTTCACAATTTAGCATGAACAAAATAACTGCTAACATACAGTTTTTTCATACCGTAGATACGTCCACGTGCATAGCGAGTGGTGATCCCCACTACACGACTTTTGACAAACGCAACTACAACTTCATGGGCAATTGTAGCTACTTGATGTCTCGACCCTGCAATGAAACAACTCTTCCACACTTTGAGGTCCATGCGGACAATGAAAATCGGTTTAACCGTCCCACCATCTCCTATGTGAAGGCCGTGCATGTATATGTTCACACGGTGAAGATCTCCATTCTCAAAGGGGGAACTGTGCAGGTAATAAACGTGGGGGGGGAAAGACAGTGTGCAGCCCGGGCTCCTAAAACTGTAAACATAATCCGTTCAAATACGTCTTAACATCGTTAAAAATGTTGTTGAGAATGCTGTTGAGAATGCAATCTAATTCCACAGCAACCACAGCGTGAAAACAATGATACTATTTTTAAATGTATGGTATTTTTACCAGAACATCCTGAAATAATGGAAATAATAATAATTTCATGCAGACAATACCACTTTTGCTTTTATTAATTAATTGCTAATATTAACTTTTAGCTTTCAAGTTTTTTCTATCATTAACTGTTTCTGTTTCCTCCGTCACCATTTATTGTCTTTATTGCACCTACTTCTCCCGCACAGGTGAATGGGACTAATGTAAACCTGCCAATTACGCCGGCCTCTGGGGTCTCTGTGTTCAAGTCGGGAAAGCACTACACTGTGTCCATGGACTTTGGTGTGACAGTTCGTTATGATGGAAACCACTTCATGGACATCAAAGTGATCAAAGAGTAAATAAAGCCTGACGTTAACATTTTTTCTCAACGTCACGGACAAGTGACGTGATATTGACAATAAAGTCTGATAATCAGTAAAAAGAACTTTTGCACTTAATTGTTCCCCTTCACCAATAACTAACTTGCAGATTTTCTTGCAGCTACAAGAACAAATTGTGTGGACTGTGTGGAGATTACGATGGATACGCGGAAGATGACTTCCGTAAACCAGATGGATCATTGACCAACAGTGCTAATGACTTTGGACACAGCTGGAACACTGATCCCGAGTGAGTAGCATTATGTTTATTATACATTATTTTCTTTTAAATGCCGTTTTGATATAAATAATATTGAATGAGTTGGGTATCTACTAAACAGATGGCTACTCATTGATCACCTCTTTGTTAGAATTATTACGGGACAAAAACTAACTAACACTAACACACACAGCTTCTCAAACTGGCTATATGTGTTGACAGGTGTAACAAGCAACCCAACACCACCATCCCCGAGTGTGAGGAAGGAGAGCAGGAACTGTATGAGAGCTCTGGATACTGTGGCATCCTGCTGGACAAAAAGGGTCCCTTCGCTGTGTGCCACCCCAAAGTCAACCCAAATGTAAGTCGCACAAACACACAGCTATACAGTATGCAGTGATACAAAGCAGTTTCCATTTTTGAACTAACTTTGTGTTGGTGTTTGTGTGTGTGTGTGTGTGTGTGTGTGTCTGCGTGTGTGTCTCTGTGTGTGTGTGTGTGTGTGTGTGTGTGTGTGTGTTCAGAATTACTTTAAGGACTGTATCTTTGACCTGTGTGAGCTGGATGGAGCCAAGCCCATTCTGTGTGAAGCCATAGAGGCCTATGTTAATGAATGTCAGGACCGTGGCGTGAACATTGGACCATGGAGGAATGAAACCTTTTGCTGTGAGTTTTGGGTAGAAGAACGGATGTAGAAACGGCAGATGGAGGGATTTGGGAGGGGAAGATAGGTTACTGTGGAGCCACTTCTTAAGGCTCAGTGAGGTTTTGGGGGGGTATCGATCTGTCCGTAAGTTATATCTCACACTAACACCTTGGAAATGTCCTTGAATTCTTTCCAAATGTGTTAGAATTTGGAGGTCACTATGGCCTCACAAATCCCATTGTTAACAATTGATTCAGAGATTTCTCTCTAATGTCCAATAAAAGGAACAATGAAGTTATGACATTTTGGACATACAGTATGAATGAATGTTGACAGATATTTGACGTGTTGGCTGGATCTGGGCTTGTATTTGTCAAGTAACAGAATAAGAAATGAATCACTATTGAACAGAAATTCTCCAACTGATGCAAATTCTGTTTTAGTTTAATGACGCAAATGCAAATAATGTTATTGACTGTAGGAAAAATGACTCCTTTCTCAGGAAACTAATGATGAACCCTTTTAATGTACATAGACATGAATTCAGTTTTTTAGACTATGTATGGCGTTTTGTCCAATTGTTATTAGTTTAAATTCCTTTTGGCAGGTAAATATATCTTATTAAACATCAGTATATCTCTATGCTACATTCACTGACTTCCCCCTCCCGTCGTCCTCCCTTCTATAGCTCCAAAATGCCCCCCCAACAGCCACTACGAGGCCTGTGCAGACCCGTGTCAGGAGACATGCAGCGGGAAACCCCCTTCCTGCGGCGGGCCCTGCTCCGAGTCCTGTGTGTGTGATCCAGGCTACGTCTTGAGCGCCGGCAAGTGCGTCAAGAAGACTTCATGTGGCTGCAAACACGTCAATGGCCAGTACTATGAGGTACAGTGATGTAGGATTGATAAGCCACCAAGGAATTGTGTGTGTGTGTCAGACATTTGTGCATTGTGAGGGTCTTCGATTTAGGATTCTTCATCAACTAACGGAGCTCAAATGTGTGTGTGCGTGTGTGTACATCAGCCTGGCGACGAGTTCTACGCGGAGTCTGTAGGCTGAAGTGCAGGTGTAATGCTCCCTTCGTCACCTGCCGAGCTAACGAATGTCCCCCATGCAAGAGTGTAAAACCAGGACGGAAGAGCTGGGCTGCTACCCCACAGGTAGGTTAACACCCAGCGCACTCATCCAAATGAACTGAGCTCGATATGAAAAGTTACATTAATATTAATCATTATTGAACACTGGTGTGCTTGAACATAAGGCTTGTAATTGTTTTGGCTAATCTTGTACTAGTGCAGTATGTGACAATACATACATCTAGGATTTCACATTAAGAAGTGACATCAGAGAATACTACAAGGCCCCTGGTTAGGTATGATTATCACAGAGCAACAGAACCAGAAGTTTGGAGGAAGATGAGGTAATAAGTTGCGGGTTTGACATGGAACGAACCTTACAACATACTTTAGAAGAATTTCTGTGATTTTCATTGAGGTTTTCATAGTTGATATGTTTACAACACAGAACATATCCCTAATCTGGGTTCAAATAATAACCAGTCTTCTTCCCACCTAAACCATCAACCCCAGGCCCAACCACACCAAAACCATCCACTCCCGGCCCAACTACACCCAAACCCACAACTCCTAGGCCAACTACTCCTGGACCAACAACACCAAAGCCACCAAGTATGACAAACCTTTTTGTTTTGTTAACAACAACACTTTTACAATGATTTTGATGATGATGTTACATTTTGCCCAAATACCACTTTACTTTCCTTTCTACTTTACAGAACCCTGCCCTCCCGATTCAGAGTATATAGAATGTGGTCCAGCTTGTATCCCCACCTGTATGGAGCCTTCTACCAACTGCTCTGGCTCCTGCATCAGTGGCTGCTTCTGCAAACCAGGTTTTGTCTTCAAGGGACGGCACTGTGTCCCATTGGAGAAATGTGGCTGTCTGGATGACCACAATAACTATTATGAGGTCAGATATCCTTGTGACTACAACTACATGCATACATTTGTGTGATTTCATGTGTATTGGTTATTAGTAAATGACAAGAAGGTTGTTCTATATAGGTCTAGTGACAAACGGTGCTCTTGGTTGATCCCTATGCCAATTCTGTTTTAGCCTGGCGAGATTATATTTGGAGATGGCTGCTCAAAGCTATGTCGCTGTGCTGGGAACTACACTTTGGAATGTGTTGACAACTCATGTGACCCCACAGAAGAATGTCGCGATGTTAATGGTGTTGCAGGTTGCTATCCTAAAGGTAATGGTATCTGTTAAATTGTCGAGGAATTGCCATATTAATTGCTGCTTGCAGTTGTCCAAAAACTGTTACGTACACTAGGACGTACAGTCGGTCAAACAATCTGAAATTGGCTATACTAGTTCTGGTGAATCTCTGCTGGATTATTCTTACTAATGTTAGAAAGCTGCGTAACTGATATTACTCTGAGTCAACTTGTAGACGTTATCACGCTTCTCTACTCGTACTAGTTTGTTTCACAATTTAGCATGAACAAAATAACTGCTAACATACAGTTTTTTCATACCGTAGATACGTCCACGTGCATAGCGAGTGGTGATCCCCACTACACGACTTTTGACAAACGCAACTACAACTTCATGGGCAATTGTAGCTACTTGATGTCTCGACCCTGCAATGAAACAACTCTTCCACACTTTGAGGTCCATGCGGACAATGAAAATCGGTTTAACCGTCCCACCATCTCCTATGTGAAGGCCGTGCATGTATATGTTCACACGGTGAAGATCTCCATTCTCAAAGGGGGAACTGTGCAGGTAATAAACGTGGGGGGGGAAAGACAGTGTGCAGCCCGGGCTCCTAAAACTGTAAACATAATCCGTTCAAATACGTCTTAACATCGTTAAAAATGTTGTTGAGAATGTTGTTGAGAATGCAATCTAATTCCACAGCAACCACAGCGTGAAAACAATGATACTATTTTTAAATGTATGGTATTTTTACCAGAACATCCTGAAATAATGGAAATAATAATAATTTCATGCAGACAATACAACTTTTGCTTTTATTAATTAATTGCTAATATTAACTTTTAGCCTTCAAGTTTTTTCTATCATTAACTGTTTCTGTTTCCTCCGTCACCATTTATTGTCTTTATTGCACCTACTTCTCCCGCACAGGTGAACAGGACTAATGTAAACCTGCCAATTACGCCGGCCTCTGGGGTCTCTGTGTTCAAGTCGGGAAAGCACTACACTGTGTCCATGGACTTTGGTGTGACAGTTCGTTATGATGGAAACCACTTCATGGACATCAAAGTGATCAAAGAGTAAATAAAGCCTGACGTTAACATTTTTTCTCGACGTCACGGACAAGTGACGTGATATTGACAATAAAGTCTGATAATCAGTAAAAAGAACTTTTGCACTTAATTGTTCCCCTTCACCAATAACTAACTTGCAGATTTTCTTGCAGCTACAAGAACAAATTGTGTGGACTGTGTGGAGATTACGATGGATACGCGGAAGATGACTTCCGTAAACCAGATGGATCATTGACCAACAGTGCTAATGACTTTGGACACAGCTGGAACACTGATCCCGAGTGAGTAGCATTATGTTTATTATACATTATTTTCTTTTAAATGCCGTTTTGATATAAATAATATTGAATGAGTTAGGTATCTACTAAAGAGATGGCTACTCATTGATCACCTCTTTGTTAGAATTATTACGGGACAAAAACTAACTAACACCAACACACACAGCTTCTCAAACTGGCTATATGTGTTGACAGGTGTAACAAGCAACCCAACACCACCATCCCCGAGTGTGAGGAAGGAGAGCAGGAACTGTATGAGAGCTCTGGATACTGTGGCATCCTGCTGGACAAAAAGGGTCCCTTCGCTGTGTGCCACCCCAAAGTCAACCCAAATGTAAGTCGCACAAACACACAGCTATACAGTATGCAGGGTTCAAAGCAGTTTCCATTTTTGAACTAACTTTTGTGTTGGTGTTTGTGTGTGTGTGTGTGTGTGTGTGTGTGTGTGTGTGTGTGTGTGTGTGTGTGTGTGTGTGTGTGTTTGTGTGTGTGTGTGTGTGTGTGTGTGTGTGTGTGTGTTCAGAATTACTTTAAGGACTGTATCTTTGACCTGTGTGAGCTGGATGGAGCCAAGCCCATTCTGTGTGAAGCCATAGAGGCCTATGTTAATGAATGTCAGGACCGTGGCGTGAACATTGGACCATGGAGGAATGAAACCTTTTGCTGTGAGTTTTGGGTAGAAGAACGGATGTAGAAACGGCAGATGGAGGGATTTGGGAGGGGAAGATAGGTTACTGTGGAGCCACTTCTTAAGGCTCAGTGAGGTTTTGGGGGGGTATCGATCTGTCCGTAAGTTATATCTCACACTAACACCTTGGAAATGTCCTTGAATTCTTTCCAAATGTGTTAGAATTTGGAGGTCACTATGGCCTCACAAATCCCATTGTTAACAATTGATTCAGAGATTTCTCTCTAATGTCCAATAAAAGGAACAATGAAGTTATGACATTTTGGACATACAGTATGAATGAATGTTGACAGATATTTGACGTGTTGGCTGGATCTGGGCTTGTATTTGTCAAGTAACAGAATAAGAAATGAATCACTATTGAACAGAAATTCTCCAACTGATGCAAATTCTGTTTTAGTTTAATGACGCAAATGCAAATAATGTTATTGACTGTAGGAAAAATGACTCCTTTCTCAGGAAACTAATAATGAACCCTTTTAATGTACATAGACATGAATTCAGTTTTTTAGGCTATGTATGGCGTTTTGTCCAATTGTTAATAGTTTAAATTCCTTTTGGCAGGTAAATATATCTTATTAAACATCAGTATATCTCTATGCTACATTCACTGACTTCCCCCTCCCGTCGTCCTCCCTACTATAGCTCCAAAATGCCCCCCCAACAGCCACTACGAGGCCTGTGCAGACCCGTGTCAGGAGACATGCAGCGGGAAACCTCCTTCCTGCGGCGGGCCCTGCTCCGAGTCCTGTGTGTGTGATCCAGGCTACGTCTTGAGCGCCGGCAAGTGCGTCAAGAAGACTTCATGTGGCTGCACACACGTCAATGGCCAGTACTACGAGGTACAGTGATGTAGGATTGATAAGCCACCAAGGAATTGTGTGTGTGTGTCAGACATTTGTGCATTGTGAGGGTCTTCGATTTAGGATTCTTCATCAACTAACGGAGCTCAAATGTGTGTGTGCGTGTGTGTACATCAGCCTGGCGACGAGTTCTACGCGGAGGACTGTAGGCTGAAGTGCAGGTGTAATGCTCCCTTCGTCACCTGCAAAGCTACGGAATGTCCCCCAATGCAAGAGTGTAAAAACCAGGACGGAGAGCTGGGCTGCTACCCCACAGGTAGGTTAACACCCAGCGCACTCATCCAAATGAACTGAGCTCGATATGAAAAGTTACATTAATATTAATCATTATTGAACACTGGTGTGCTTGAACATAAGGCTTGTAATTGTTTTGGCTAATCTTGTACTAGTGCAGTATGTGACAATACATACATCTAGGATTTCACATTAAGAAGTGACATCAGAGAATACTACAAGGCCCCTGGTTAGGTATGATTATCACAGAGCAACAGAACCAGAAGTTTGGAGGAAGATGAGGTAATAAGTTGCGGGTTTGACATGGAACGAACCTTACAACATACTTTAGAAGAATTTCTGTGATTTTCATTGAGGTTTTCATAGTTGATATGTTTACAACACAGAACATATCCCTAATCTGGGTTCAAATAATAACCAGTCTTCTTCCCACCTAAACCATCAACCCCAGGCCCAACCACACCAAAACCATCCACTCCCGGCCCAACTACACCCAAACCCACAACTCCTAGGCCAACTACTCCTGGACCAACAACACCAAAGCCACCAAGTATGACAAACCTTTTTGTTTTGTTAACAACAACACTTTTACAATGATTTTGATGATGATGTTACATTTTGCCCAAATACCACTTTACTTTCCTTTCTACTTTACAGAACCCTGCCCTCCCGATTCAGAGTATATAGAATGTGGTCCAGCTTGTATCCCCACCTGTATGGAGCCTTCTACCAACTGCTCTGGCTCCTGCATCAGTGGCTGCTTCTGCAAACCAGGTTTTGTCTTCAAGGGACGGCACTGTGTCCCATTGGAGAAATGTGGCTGTCTGGATGACCACAATAACTATTATGAGGTCAGATATCCTTGTGACTACATCTACATGCATACATTTGTGTGATTTCATGTGTATTGGTTATTAGTAAATGACAAGAAGGTTGTTCTATATAGGTCTAGTGACAAACGGTGCTCTTGGTTGATCCCTATGCCAATTCTGTTTTAGCCTGGCGAGATTATATTTGGAGATGGCTGCTCAAAGCTATGTCGCTGTGCTGGGAACTACACTTTGGAATGTGTTGACAACTCATGTGACCCCACAGAAGAATGTCGCGATGTTAATGGTGTTGCAGGTTGCTATCCTAAAGGTAATGGTATCTGTTAAATTGTCGAGGAATTGCCATATTAATTGCTGCTTGCAGTTGTCCAAAAACTGTTACGTACACTAGGACGTACAGTCGGTCAAACAATCTGAAATTGGCTATACTAGTTCTGGTGAATCTCTGCTGGATTATTCTTACTAATGTTAGAAAGCTGCGTAACTGATATTACTCTGAGTCAACTTGTAGACGTTATCACGCTTCTCTACTCGTACTAGTTTGTTTCACAATTTAGCATGAACAAAATAACTGCTAACATACAGTTTTTTCATACCGTAGATACGTCCACGTGCATAGCGAGTGGTGATCCCCACTACACGACTTTTGACAAACGCAACTACAACTTCATGGGCAATTGTAGCTACTTGATGTCTCGACCCTGCAATGAAACAACTCTTCCACACTTTGAGGTCCATGCGGACAATGAAAATCGGTTTAACCGTCCCACCATCTCCTATGTGAAGGCCGTGCATGTATATGTTCACACGGTGAAGATCTCCATTCTCAAAGGGGGAACTGTGCAGGTAATAAACGTGGGGGGGGAAAGACAGTGTGCAGCCCGGGCTCCTAAAACTGTAAACATAATCCGTTCAAATACGTCTTAACATCGTTAAAAATGTTGTTGAGAATGCTGTTGAGAATGCAATCTAATTCCACAGCAACCACAGCGTGAAAACAGTGATACTATTTTTAAATGTATGGTATTTTTACCAGAACATCCTGAAATAATGGAAATAATAAGAATTTCATGCAGACAATACAACTTTTGCTTTTATTAATTAATTGCTAATATTAACTTTTAGCTTTCAAGTTTTTTCTATCATTAACTGTTTCTGTTTCCTCCGTCACCATTTATTGTCTTTATTGCACCTACTTCTCCCGCACAGGTGAATGGGACTAATGTAAACCTGCCAATTACGCCGGCCTCTGGGGTCTCTGTGTTCAAGTCGGGAAAGCACTACACTGTGTCCATGGACTTTGGTGTGACAGTTCGTTATGATGGAAACCACTTCATGGACATCAAAGTGATCAAAGAGTAAATAAAGCCTGACGTTAACATTTTTTCTCGACGTCACGGACAAGTGACGTGATATTGACAATAAAGTCTGATAATCAGTAAAAAGAACTTTTGCACTTAATTGTTCCCCTTCACCAATAACTAACTTGCAGATTTTCTTGCAGCTACAAGAACAAATTGTGTGGACTGTGTGGAGATTACGATGGATACGCGGAAGATGACTTCCGTAAACCAGATGGATCATTGACCAACAGTGCTAATGACTTTGGACACAGCTGGAACACTGATCCCGAGTGAGTAGCATTATGTTTATTATACATTATTTTCTTTTAAATGCCGTTTTGATATAAATAATATTGAATGAGTTGGGTATCTACTAAACAGATGGCTACTCATTGATCACCTCTTTGTTAGAATTATTACGGGACAAAAACTAACTAACACCAACACACACAGCTTCTCAAACTGGCTATATGTGTTGACAGGTGTAACAAGCAACCCAACACCACCATCCCCGAGTGTGAGGAAGGAGAGCAGGAACTGTATGAGAGCTCTGGATACTGTGGCATCCTGCTGGACAAAAAGGGTCCCTTCGCTGTGTGCATCCAAAGTCAACCCAATGTAAGTCGCACAAACACACAGCTATACAGTATGCAGTGATACAAAGCAGTTCCCATTTTTGAACTAACTTTGTGTGGGTGTTTGTGTGTGTGTGTGTGTGTGTGTGTGTGTGTGTGTGTGTGTGTGTGTGTGTGTGTGTGTGTGTGTGTGTGTGTGTGTGTGTGTGTGTGTGTGTGTGTGTGTGTGTGTGTGTGTTCAGAATTACTTTAAGGACTGTATCTTTGACCTGTGTGAGCTGGATGGAGCCAAGCCCATTCTGTGTGAAGCCATAGAGGCCTATGTTAATGAATGTCAGGACCGTGGCGTGAACATTGGACCATGGAGGAATGAAACCTTTTGCTGTGAGTTTTGGGTAGAAGAACGGATGTAGAAACAGCAGATGGAGGGATTTGGGAGGGGAAGATAGGTTACTGTGGAGCCACTTCTTAAGGCTCAGTGAGGTTTTGGGGGGGTATCGATCTGTCCGTAAGTTATATCTCACACTAACACCTTGGAAATGTCCTTGAATTCTTTCCAAATGTGTTAGAATTTGGAGGTCACTATGGCCTCACAAATCCCATTGTTAACAATTGATTCAGAGATTTCTCTCTAATGTCCAATAAAAGGAACAATGAAGTTATGACATTTTGGACATACAGTATGAATGAATGTTGACAGATATTTGACGTGTTGGCTGGATCTGGGCTTGTATTTGTCAAGTAACAGAATAAGAAATGAATCACTATTGAACAGAAATTCTCCAACTGATGCAAATTCTGTTTTAGTTTAATGACGCAAATGCAAATAATGTTATTGACTGTAGGAAAAATGACTCCTTTCTCAGGAAACTAATAATGAACCCTTTTAATGTACATAGACATGAATTCAGTTTTTTAGGCTATGTATGGCGTTTTGTCCAATTGTTAATAGTTTAAATTCCTTTTGGCAGGTAAATATATCTTATTAAACATCAGTATATCTCTATGCTACATTCACTGACTTCCCCCTCCCGTCGTCCTCCCTACTATAGCTCCAAAATGCCCCCCCAACAGCCACTACGAGGCCTGTGCAGACCCGTGTCAGGAGACATGCAGCGGGAAACCTCCTTCCTGCGGCGGGCCCTGCTCCGAGTCCTGTGTGTGTGATCCAGGCTACGTCTTGAGCGCCGGCAAGTGCGTCAAGAAGACTTCATGTGGCTGCACACACGTCAATGGCCAGTACTACGAGGTACAGTGATGTAGGATTGATAAGCCACCAAGGAATTGTGTGTGTGTGTCAGACATTTGTGCATTGTGAGGGTCTTCGATTTAGGATTCTTCATCAACTAACGGAGCTCAAATGTGTGTGTGCGTGTGTGTACATCAGCCTGGCGACGAGTTCTACGCGGAGGACTGTAGGCTGAAGTGCAGGTGTAATGCTCCCTTCGTCACCTGCAAAGCTACGGAATGTCCCCCAATGCAAGAGTGTAAAAACCAGGACGGAGAGCTGGGCTGCTACCCCACAGGTAGGTTAACACCCAGCGCACTCATCCAAATGAACTGAGCTCGATATGAAAAGTTACATTAATATTAATCATTATTGAACACTGGTGTGCTTGAACATAAGGCTTGTAATTGTTTTGGCTAATCTTGTACTAGTGCAGTATGTGACAATACATACATCTAGGATTTCACATTAAGAAGTGACATCAGAGAATACTACAAGGCCCCTGGTTAGGTATGATTATCACAGAGCAACAGAACCAGAAGTTTGGAGGAAGATGAGGTAATAAGTTGCGGGTTTGACATGGAACGAACCTTACAACATACTTTAGAAGAATTTCTGTGATTTTCATTGAGGTTTTCATAGTTGATATGTTTACAACACAGAACATATCCCTAATCTGGGTTCAAATAATAACCAGTCTTCTTCTTCTTCTTAAAATGCTCTTTCTGCGTTACATTCTGATGTTCGGCTTCCCTTCCCCATTCAGGCTCTCAGGACTGCGTGGTGTCTGGAGATCCACACTACAACACCTTTGACAAGAAGTTTTTCACATTTATGGGAACATGCACCTACACACTAGCCCGAACCTGCAAGAACACCACCGGTAGGTTCAGACATTTATCCATTCAGCCTTCTTTGTCATTTATTAAATTATTTTTATCTATGTTTGTTGCGAAATGTTCGACCTGCCGCAGCTCTAAAACGCGTGTCCAATCTTATTTAAATTCTCTTATCCCAAGTGGTCTTGTAAAGTGTGTCCTAACACCAGCAGGAGGCACTACAGCACCATTAGACTTTGACTCATCTGACTGTTTTGCACAGTTCAGCCTTAAACAGTAACGTGTTCTTTTTCTACTGTGTTTCTTTGGACATTGAAGAATTCTCATGCAGTTTAGGGAGCTGACTAGATATATGTGTTTGTAAACTCCCTGTGCAGGTCCTTGGTTCTCAGTGGAGGGGAAGAATGAGGAGAGAGGGGTGCCGGGCATGTCCTACCTGAGGAAGCTCTACGTCACCGTGGATGGAATCACCGTGACCCTGATGAAGGCCAAGAGGACTCTGGTCAGTAGGGACCACATTTAAAACATCACACAATGGATTCAAGATGGATCTGTCAATGAATGTACTTTTACAAGCCGCCTGTATCACAGGAGGATGTCGGGGCATCACATGGTTAACTACATGTGCGGCACAGCAACAGCTGTATCGCTCTATCTGTGTCTTAATCTTCTGGTTCTGCGAATTTACAAGCCTGTTCTTTGTTCTCTTGCCTTTTCATTTGACCTTATTCTTGACTTTTATCTCTTCATGATGCCATAATCTCAAAGTCTGTCCCTGCTTGTCATCCTCAACGTCTCTTGTGCTCATCTGTTCTAAATCCCTGTGTGCTGTTTTTTTTTTTAATTCACTTGTCAAATGTGAAAAGCTTGAATATAAAATGTACCTGTTGCTGCGTTTTTAACACAGTCTCCATGTTGTCTGTTCCGCCTCCACATCTGGCAGGTAAACGGACGGCGAGTGGCCTTCCCCAACTCCCCGTCTCCGCTCATCTCTCTCAGTCTCGCCGGTCAGTACGTCACCCTGCAGACATCCTTCGGCCTCCGGGTGCGCTGGGACGGAAGCCATTACGCCCAGATCTCAGTCCCCAGGTTGGTCAAAAGCTTTCTAGAGGTCAACCTCACTCATCGTGTTCGCATGCAACACATTCATGTGGCTTTTTTTTTAATGAGCTTTTTAGTTACTTTGGTTAAAAACTGCCCAGACTGGTTAAACAAAGAATAATAACTAGAATAGAGATGTTATAAAGAGATATCAAAAAGAGTCGGAAACCACCGACATCTCAAAAGCCAAAATGTGCACGAGCACTAGTTGTTGGAGTTGAAATGCAGGTCCACTGGCGTTGAGGTGAGGCGTTGGTCCCCCAGGCACTGAAAGGGGGCGTGGCACACCTGAAACTGACCTGAAATGTACAGTTTTCGCTGGTCACATTATTCACTCTTTATACCACATCACTTGCTCTTGGCGTCTTATAGTGATGCAGATGGTTTGGAGCTAGTTGAAAGCATGCTGCGTCTTATCCAGACCGCAAAGGGGCCCTTCGTGTGTTGGTATCAGATGTCAAAAGCGTCTGCATCAAACAATCATTGCTTTCAAAGTCATCTGTGAAACTTAAAGAAACCTGACAGTGAAATTATAGTAATTTCTTTGGAATGACACAAAATTAGGAAATAACTAAATTTGCTTATGACAACTCGCATGCATATTTATTCGATGTAGCTGCAGATCCAGTCTCAAGCCACAGTTCTGCTGCTGATGAACAGGACAAATCTTTAGACACATGAAGCAGTCAAAATGCGCCCTGAAAGACAGACCAATATCGGCGGGGTGTAGAAGACACTATTTGTTGTTATAAACGGCAAAAGGTCACAGTTTATTCTCTGTGTATGCCATGATAATTGCGTAAGAACTCAGTTGTAACCAAGCAATAGTTCAAAGGTCTTTCAGATCTGCATGTTCTCTAGATCCCTCCAACATTCTTAATTTAATTAATAATAATAATACATTTTCTTTTCTTACATTGATAATGCCTTTACTAGTATCAGATGAAGAGATTTCTGCATTTTGTCGGTTTGTTTCTCGGATTCCATTAAGGGGCCAAACCCTGGTGGACCTTTTAAGTTTTCTTAACGTCCCTCCTCATCTCTTAATCCCGCCTTCTCATCGTCTTTGTCTCCCTCAGCTCCTACTACGACCAGATGTGCGGCCTGTGCGGCGACTACGACGGAAACCCAGGCAACGACTTCACCAAACCAGATGGCACCCTGGTGGGAAATGTCAACGACTTCGGAAACAGCTGGCAAACGAAGGAGGATGAGGATGACTCGTGAGTTTACACGCACTCGGATCAGTGCTGGGAATCTAAACAATTCCCTGGAAAGTCACATGTAGTCCAGGCATGCAATTCAATGTGACTAGACACTAATCCGTAATTGCATTTAGTAGAACAAAAGATATATATATTTATTTATTTATTTTTCTAGAAAAATTACTATGCAAAGAATGATTCACTTTGAGAAAACAAATTTCTTGTTTGTGTTGATCAGCTGCAGCCCAGGTACCAAGCCCGACCCGGACTGTGACCCCAAGCTTGAAGCAGAGGTGGTGAAACCAGACAAATGTGGCAAAATCACAGACCCTGCTGGGCCTTTCAGGTGAGAGAGGAGCTTTTCTCCCTTCCTGGTGCCCAAAATGTAGCAACTTTTATCTCCCACAATGCATCTCTGTAGTGTCGCTTCTTCCTACCTGGTAAAACTGAACCATCTGGTTCACAACACATTTATCTGGAATTTCTTTTGGTACAGTTCAAAGATGGCCGAATGCAAAGTCACGCTTCACACTCCTCTCTCTGCTTCTCAGTCACTACCCATTATTGGGGAGACACACTCACCCACCCACACACACACGAACACGCGCGCACACACACACCCAAATAAGGAAAGCTGAGGCTGCTCCACCACCACCAAACCTGTGCAGCGGCAACAAAAATGTATCTGGCACGGATCGGGTGCGTCAGATAAACCCTTGTAAAGAAATTTTAGTTTGAGGTTGTGGCCGCAGACCCCAGTGCTCTCAAATGACATTGTCATCACCGCTTTACAACGGCAGAGAGCTGGGTTTTATCTTGGAAAGGAGTTTGAGTTTTAGTAAACATCCCAGTATAACATAATAAGGTAATTCTATTCATACATATTCATATATATCAGCAGTCTGATATGTAGAGTGAACATTAAACACATACCTATGAACCTAGTTTGTGTGGGAAATCAGTGTGTTGAGGAAAGACCAACTCAAAAGCCCCACAAAACTTCACACTGTGAATTATTTTGGATAACATGTCCCTGTTTTCATCCACGTGCTAGTTGTGTGTCCTCGCGGCGGCTGTGTGGGTCGCACCTGGGTAGCGATGTGCCCTGTAACACGGTGACGTCTGCGCGCGAATATACGGCGTTAGCATGCAGCTAACTAGCTAGCTAACCATCCCGGTGTAGAAGTCTCTAGTCTCTCCCTTTCACGCCGGTCCGTTGTCCGATCGTGAGGCCACGCTGATCTGGTCCAGCTGTTTCACCTCTAGTTTCTCCGGCAGAGTTCTTCTCTCGTAACGAGTTCAGGTCGGGTCTTCTTGGAAGGACACTGCCGGTGGTCGCACTTGTTATGTTGTTAAACGGCGTTGCGCAAATCTCAATGTATTCTAGGACGCTGAAATTATAATGTCACTCATTAACTCTATCAGTGATTGGCTAACTGCTTTTTAGACCTGCCGCTTTGGGACCGTGCCCGAGGACAGCAGACAAACGGAGAGGATGTACAGGAAAAGCAGATATTTTGCGCAGATATATTAATTTACAAAAACACAAATATTGACTATTTGTAAAATGAATTTTTAATTTTAAAAAATGATATATATTTGTTCTCCGTCATGGTGGGGCCGCGCCCCGTTGCCCTCTATGGACCAACCTCCACTGCTCATTTCTCTTTTCAGATTACTGTTTTAGCTCATTCTTGGAACATCACATGGACAGCATTGAATCCAAACACACACACTTATTTATCTTGTTTTGATATACATTTACTAATGTAGATATTTCTTTCTATTCAGTTCATGAAAATGTTTCAAGTGAATCATTTTCTGTCGATGGTTTGTTTGCTCAGCATGTTGCTTTTTCTATGACGGATTAAGAAGAGGCTTCCAGTGAAATCTGCAGGATGTGGTCGGTTGAGTTCTGAGTGTTTTCTGCTTGCAGGGAGTGTATCAGTGTGGTGGATCCCACACCGTTCTTCCAGAGCTGCGTCTACGACATGTGTCAGTTCGGCGGCCAGCAGCGCGTCCTGTGCGACCAGCTCCAGGCCTACACCGATGCCTGCCAGAGCGCTGGAGCCAAAGTCCACCAGTGGAGGACTCCGGGCTTCTGTTGTAAGTCTTCAGTGTTTTATGGTTTGTCTCTTCAACACGCAGACGCTTGTTCCACAGTGACCGCTGTTCAGAATGAAACAACTGTCTGTTTCAATGGGAAATTTGATTTAGACATTTATGTTCCCCTTTGCTTCTTTTTTTTCCTTTGGTTATCCCCTGACTTTTTCTTCACGTTAAATTCTGGCCATCATCATTATTGATGCATGCTAAACATAACATGCTAAATGTTAGAATCAGAATGAGAACAATTTATTGCCAAGTACGTTGCAATTTTTTTTTTTCAACGAACATCCTATAACAATAATCATTTCATCCCTGTCTTCATCATCTGTCCTCCATCTTCCATTCCTCCACCCCTCCGTGCAGCCCTGGAATGTCCTCCCAACAGCTCCTACACTCTGTGTGCCAGTTCCTGTCCAGAGACGTGTCTGGGGGTGGTCGCGTCCCCCAGCTGCCAGGACGTGTGCGTGGAGGGTTGCGAGTGCAACCCAGGGTTCATCCTCAGCAACGACAAGTGTGTGTCGCTGAAGGACTGCGGCTGTGTGGACACCAGCGGGACCTATCACCCGGTGAGTGGGGACGGGGTTTAAATCAACTAAATCAGCAAGTAGCAGCGCCTGATTCTACTGCCTTTTAGTCAAAGACAAAGACAATATCTAAATGGAAACATAAGTAATGTGAATTGCTGGTATTCATTGTTAAAATAAGGACAATGTTTTACTTACATACTTAACATTGGAATTTCTCTGTTGTAGTTTAACACAGTCTAATGTGTCTGATCTGAACCATAACATTGTTGTGAGGACTTGATGCATTTAGTTTGGATTGATTTGCCACTAATGTGCATACCTGTGTGTGTGTGTGTGTGTGTGTGTGTGTGTGTGTGTGTGTGTGTGTGTGTGTGTGTGTTTGGCAGGTGGGCGATAACTGGTACCTGGAGGGCTGCGAGCACAAGTGTGACTGTCACAGTGGAGGTTTGATTCAGTGTCACAACAGCAGCTGTAAACCAACCACGGAGAGCTGCCAGCTAAAGGATGGAGAATACGAATGTCTTCCTTTAGGTGCGTCTCCCACACACACACAGACACACACACACACACAAAGCTTAAACGAGAATTCATCATTTTCTATGCAGATTTTGAACACATTCCTCAAATAAATAATGCTAGTAGTACTACAATAATCTACTGATAAATAATACATTGAAATGAAATAATACTCTCTTCTTCAGGAAATGGCATCTGCTCAGTATCTGGTGACCCCCACTACACCACCTTTGACAAGCACACCCACCATTACATGGGAGCCTGCTCCTACACGCTGTCTAAACCCTGTAACGTCTCCTCCGGCTCGCCGTACTTCAGCGTGGACACGCAGAACGAGCACAGAGGAAGTAGTAAGAAGGTCTCCTACGTCAGGGCCGTGGTCGTCAACGTGAACGGGGTGACCGTCGTCCTCGGCAAAGGCCGCACGGTCCAGGTATGTCAGTTGGTTCTGGTTCACATAACCAATCTCTGCTGGGGGTTTTGTGGCCATCAGGCCCAAACTGCATTGTGTATGTTTACCGTGGTTAGTGGTTAAGACAAGGGGTGATGACCTGCTCCTCGCACAGACACTCAGAATAAAGGTCTCTGTGTCCTCCAGGTCAACGGGACCGTGGTCGTCCCCCCGGTCACCTCCATCGGCGGAGTCAAGATCTACTTGAGCGGCAAGTTTGTGGTCCTGGAGACGTCCTTCGGCCTGAGGGTCCGTTTTGACGGCAACCACCACGCCGACGTCACCTTGCCGATTTCCTACAATGGCCTGCTCTGTGGCATGTGTGGTAAGGACCATTGGTGTCCCATTTCAGGCTATTATTGATAGAATAAACATCTGAAAATTTAACTCAGACATTATTTTTAACAGCGGTTAACGGTGAACAGATTCCAATGCGAGTTTTGCCAACTCCGTCGGGAAAGCTGCCTCCGACCTCAAACTATTAGGCAACACTAATACTATCGGAAAAGCAGCCAATAATATCTGTTTCATTGGCAGGAAATTTCAATGGAAACTCCAAAGATGACAACTTGAAGCCAGACAACACACCGGCCGCTAACACCAATGAACTGGGAGACAGCTGGCAGGTCCCTGACCCGAGGCCCGAGTGAGTCACGTCACACAATCTAAAAATGTGTTTCACTAAAAATATCATCACTTCACTCCAATCTAATGAATCCTGCCTCTCGCCTCCAGCTGCACCAACGGTGGGGGACAGGAGGACTGTGATGAAGTCGTGGAGGAGGAGGCCAAGAAGCCCACCAGCTGCGGCATGATCACGGATCCCAACGGTATGACACACACACACACACACACACACACACACACACACACAGTATACTGTGAGTAATAGACAAAGTGAGTGTTGAGTAAATGGAGTTTGTGTATGTGCGTTTGGTGTTTAGGTCTCTTTAAGCCTTGTCACGTCGTCGTGCCCCCGGAGCCATACTTTGGAAACTGCGTGTACGACATGTGTGCCACTGGAGGGCAGACCGTGGCTCTGTGCCAGGCCATAGAGAGCTACGCTGACCTGTGTGCTGCTGCAGGAGTGCCCATCCCATGGAGGAACTACACCTTCTGTCGTAAGTCCGCTGGGTGTGTGCAAAGCAGAGGAGCAGGGTAGGCGTGGTCATTTTTTTAAAGAAGATATTTAACGAGAATAATTTTGATTTTTTTTTTTCCAATCTCAAATGTTCTTCTTGTAAACCTTTATAGATTGACATACACTGTCTGGATATCCTGCCTCTTGATATTTCACATTAGCACGTAGTGACACAGGATTTAATCCTTTCCAGCCTTTACAGTCTCTAGCGTGAGAGGCCTTTTCACTCGCATTTATTCCAAAATGTCCTTTAAACATCTCTTGTCCTTCTGTCCTCCCTCCCTCCAGCTCTGAAGTGCCCCGCAGGCAGCCATTACGACTCTTGCAGCCCGGCCTGTGCCCAGCCGAGCTGCCAGCAACCCGCAACCCCCGGTGGCTCCTGCGACCTGCCGTGTGTGGAGGGATGCGTCTGTAGCCCTGGCCTCATCCTTAGCGGGGACAAGTGTGTCCCGCTCAGCGAGTGTGGATGCACCGACACAGACGGACTCTACAGACCGGTAAGCAAACACCTCAGGCACTGGGCTTTTTTTTGCAAGAAGACCCATTTGAGCGAGCGTTGACCTTGTCTTTGTGCACTTGTGTGAACCATGTGTGCAGGTCGGAGACTCGTGGTTCACGGAGACGGACTGCTCAGAGCGCTGTAAGTGTAACGGTAACAACAACATCACCTGCGAGCCGTGGCAGTGCAGCCCTGCACAGGAGTGTAAGGTTGTGGAGGGAGTCCTGGACTGCCACTCTACAGGTAAGACAGACCGGAGGCCCAACGATCTACCTCACCTTTCAGCAATAAGTGAACCGTTTGACAATAGTTGTGATCCTGTTCATTATTTCTTATTTGTGAAAAGTGTTTCTCGTGTTTCCTCAGGTAAAGGAGTGTGTCATGTGGCTGGAGATCCTCACTACTACACCTTTGACGGTGTGATGCACACGTTCATGGGCACCTGCACTTACACTTTAGTGGAGGTACAGGAGGGAATTTTACCTTGAAATTTCTATTTGCACATGCTAAACCCCTTTCTGTGCTTTCTGAAACAATATTAAATATCCAAGATTGTTGACTGTTTTTTTCTGAAACCCATAGGTGTGTAACACCACTAAAGTAACTCCTTTCAAGATCGTGGCTAAAAACGAGGAGCGTGGTCAACCAGAGGCCTCCTACGTTCGCTCTGTCAAGGTCTACCTGCCCCATGACACTGTGGTGGAGCTGCAGAAGAGCCGCCGAGTTTCGGTAATTAGCGCTATACTTTAAAAAATATACATCATGTTGGCAGCAGAAAAGTATGGAAGCTCAAACAGGCAAGAGAGGTTCAGTTTTGGTTATTAAGAATTTATTAGAATTTACTATTTTCTCAGTCTGATCCAAACTATTTTCGCTCCTCTTTATGACTCAGGAACAGGTGTAAAAAGTATTTGTTCTAAATTTTGCAGGGTAAAAATAATGTTTTCGTCTGGAATGGTCTTGTGTTGTTGTATTAATCCTTTTGTTTAACTAACAATATGCATCCGTTGTTTTTTATTACTGGAACATTTTAAGCTCACCTGGAAGAAAACCGATGCAATGATATCATGATCCATAGAAAATAACACACAAATACACAAATATCCCTCTGAGGCCAATTCCTAATTTGTGATTTAAAAATAAAATTTAATTAAAAAGAGAAATTAATGAAATCATGCTTTTAGTCTTAATACATAGAATACACGGCAAAATGCAGTTTTAGACCAACACATTACAGAATATTAAAAGGTATCCTTGTTTTATTCACTCATGAAATTGTCTTGACGTTGTCGTGTCTTAGCTGAATGGACGGCGGGTGAAAACGCCACTTTCCATCGACTTGGCTGGAGCCAAGGTGATAACCAGCGGATCCTACAGTCTGCTGGACACCAACTTTGGACTGCAGGTGAAGTTCGACGGCGTCCATCACTTGGAGATCACGGTTCCTGGAGAATACTTCAACAAGGTATCAGACATAAGGCCCGTCTTATTGTCTTATTATCCCTCCACCTAACGTCTCTGCGTCAAGTCAGACAAACAAAGAGCTTGTAATAAATAACCCTGCTCCATCTCCCTCCACTCCAGCTGTGCGGCATGTGCGGGAACTACAACCACAACTCCTCAGATGAATACCTGATGCCCAATAAGAAACCAGCCAAGGATGTGATTGAACTGGGAAACAGCTGGAAATCGGATGGGGACAGTGATCCTGGGTCAGTGGCCCACAGCCGTCACACATGATTTACTTTTATAAGATGGATAGCGTGAGCTAGATTATGATCAAATCTGTGTGTTGATTTCCATACCTTCACGCTCCCCCCGCTAGCTGCCAGCCTGACACGCGTCCAAACATCCACCCCAACTGCACGGCGGAGGAAGAGAAGCTGTACGAAGCTCAGTGTGCCGGGGTCATCCTCTCTGACCGCTTCAAGCCCTGCCACTCGCTGGTGCCCCCCGAGGCCTTCCTGGGTAACTGCATCTACGACTTGTGCGAGTACGACGGCATGCAGGCGACGCTCTGCGACAACGTTGATGCGTACGCTCAGGCCTGCCAGAGCTCCGGAGTCACCATCAGCTGGAGGAACAGCACCTTCTGTCGTGAGTGCCGGCCGCGCCATCAGCCCGCTAGATAAAAGATTCTGGCTTTTTATATAATTGGGTTTTCCTCCCCTGCAGCCGTGCCGTGCCCTGCCAACAGCCACTATTCGGATTGCACTCCCCCATGCCCCCCCACCTGCTCCGACCTCTTCCCCATCTTCTGCCACCTCCCCTCCACCACATGTGTGGAGGGCTGCCAGTGTGACGGCGGCTACGTCCTCAGCGACAGCAAGTGTGTTCCTCTGGACAAGTGTGGCTGCCTGGGCTCAGACGGAGAATACCATGAAGTGAGTGGAGCCGACTCCGCCTAAATAGGAAGCGATATCATAGAACATTCGAGACAATTGGTGGTAATTGGAGTCTATTTCAGATGTGTTCTTCATGGTGGTCCCTCACACTTTGGGCCCCTGTGCTTATACCCTCTAGACCCGTTCATTAATTATAGAAACAATTATTACACGCAGCAATATATATATATATATATATTTGTGTTTTAAATGTAAACGTTTGTGTGTGTGTGTGTTTGTAGGTGGGAGACTCCTGGCTGACGGATAAATGTATTAATTCATGTAGCTGCAATCTTGGTGGCCAAATCACGTGCAAGGACCACACCTGCAGTTCCAACTCAGTGTGTTCTCTGGACAAATACGGAGACGTCTACTGCAAACCCACCAGTGAGTGCCTCTGACTGCGACATCCCAACATCTTGTAGCCAGGCAGTGGACACTTTGAAGCCTTCTTATCCGTATGGTTCAGATCATAAGCCATTTTGACTGTTTCGTTTCCATCGTCACTTAGATTTCGACAAGTGCAGCATCTCCGGCGATCCCCACCACCGAACATTCGATGGTTTCACCCATCACTTCCAGGGCCCCTACACCTACGTCCTGACCCAGAGCCACAACCTGCAGAACTCCTTGACGCCCTTCGTGGTGAGGGGAAAGAACATGAGACGCGGAGGCAACAGGAGGGTGTCGTTCCTGGATCAGATGTACATTGACGTCTACGGCGTCAATGTCCGCTTCCTGCAGAAGAAGAGCGTCCTGGTCAGTAGTTTGTCTTTGTTTTATTGAAGCCTCTTTCGTCTTGTGTTAAAACGCTAACTGTGAAATTATACTGTGTGCCTTCTAGCTGAATGGGGAGCGTGTTGCACCTCCACTCAGGCCGGTTGATGGTTTGACCATCACGATGAACTCCAAGCAGGTCCAGCTCACCACCGACTTTGGACTCACTGTACGCTTCGATGGCAACATTCGCGGAGGTGAGGGAAGAAGAAACCTGGGCCCTCGCCAGCTTACTTTGGCTTGTTTGTGAATCCGTTCACCCTCCATCTCTCTGTGTTTGTGTATCAGAGATCATACTGCCCAGCACCTATAAGAACGCTGTCAGGGGTCTGTGTGGAAACTACGACGGCATCACCAGAAACGAGTACATGAAGCCGGATGGAACGGTGGTCAGGGATCTGAACAACTTTGGAGAGAGCTGGAGGGTCAGTGAGCGACAGGCGGATGGACTGAGGATCTTTAACCTTCATCACACTGTGCACGCTCACAGGTAGCTCCACTTCCACAATCCCTGGCAATCAAAATCAAAAGATCGAAAAGTGCATTTCAAAAAAGTGCAATAATGGGTGTGCAGTTATTGAGAATGTTGAGACACAGCAGCTTTAACTATGTCTATTTCTTTCCCTCCTTCTACCCTTTTGGCACTCGGTCTCCAGGCGAGAGGTGGAGGCCGATCCAGATTCAGGGTTTGAGACATCGGACTGCTCTCAGTCTGAGCTCAATGGCTACAACAGCGTGGCTCAGTGTGGAGCGCTGTCTGACTCCAAGGGCCCGTTCGCTGCCTGCCATGCCACGCTGCCTCCTAAAACCTACCAGGAGTGAGTGGTCTGTTTGTCCGTGTGTGTGTTGGAACTGTTGTCTGGAGACGGCTACAGTGCTGTTTAAATTACTGCACAACGTATTACTTCACGTCCTTCATTCAAATGTAACATGAGTGTTGTGTGTGTTTGTCCCACAGCGATTGTGTGTTTGACCTTTGTGCTGAGAGTGGCAATGCGGCGCTGCGTTGTGCCAGTTATGAAGCGTACGCCGCCGCCTGTCAGGAGGCCGGAGTCAAACTGGAGCCTTGGCGGCAGCAGCTGGACTGCGGTAAGATGCTGAATTTTTCAGATAATGTGGGAGTAACGGCAGTGCAGCGATTCTTAGATGCCCATTGGGCGGTTTTTTAAAATTATACAAATCTAAACTTCAAATTGAAAATGCAATTCCAGAAATTGGAGTCATAATTTTCCACTTATTAATGTGTTACTTAGGTCATGTCAGACATCTTTTTTAATTTTAATTGTGACATATTAAGGACTATTGTATTTTCATCTGCATATTTCCTCAAATAACACGTACATGTGTGGAAAATTATAATATTATTGTTGAATAACACGTCAGCCATTTAATTTAATCAGAAGAGGAGTAAAATTGACGTTCCTATTCCAATCAATGTAGCTGAAAGAATGTGAAACGAGGTTGTTTACCGTAGTCTGTTTAGAAGAAGTGGACTTCGGTCATCGTGACGTCACTTAACGGTTTTTAGTCCGATCAAGATGCCGGTTTACCCATTGCTGATTTTAATCAAGTGATAAGTAGGGTAGTTTCTTTAATAGTCGTTCATATAATCAGACTTCCTTTTGCTGTTAGAGGAGTCGCACCCTGTCAGTAGAAAGATTGTAAGTTTTAAGATATTTCCCCATCAGCTTCACTTTGCAGAACCGCAGTTTGCCGCCTGGTTGTGACTCTCTCTCTCTCTCTCGCTCTCTCTCCCAGTCCTGTCCTGCGATGCCAACAGCACCTACTCCCCCTGCATGTCACCTTGCCCCCCCTCATGCGCCGACTTGGCGGCCCCCTCCGAGTGCGAGGCCACCTCCTGCATGGAGGGGTGCCAGTGTGCCGCGGGCTTCGTCATGAGCGAGGGGGTCTGCGTGCCGTACACACAGTGTGGCTGCAGCGTCCTCAACAGATACTACACCGTGAGAGGCCTTCTAGAGTTACAGCTGTGTGTGTGTGCGTGTCAGTGTGTGAGGATCTCTTTAACACCCCCCCACCTCCGTCATCTCCCTCTGTTTCCTGCAGCTCAAGGAGGAGTTTGTGACTGAGGACTGTTCCCAGGCTTGTGAGTGCACCAGCACCGGGGCCGTGTGCCGGCCCAAGACCTGCCAGAGCGGATTTGTCTGCACCGTCTACGACTTCAAACGGGAGTGTTACAGAGGTGTGTGTGTCGGGGCTTCAGCCGCTCGACATCATTTGAGCGTACACGCCATGGACTCAGCCACCATCCGAGCCATTATGAACAAATAAATAGGAATCCTGGCACAATATTATTGAACAAAATGTACACTTTTCACCCCGGTGCTCATAGCACACCAGAGTATCAACTATAAGTAGAGATGATGCGTTCTGTGTACTGCAGCGAGTCCCTGCCTCAGCTACCCCTGTCTGAATGGAGGCCAATGCGCCGATGCCAGCAACAACACGTACACCTGTCAGTGTGCCGAGGGCTTCGAGGGAGACAACTGCGAGGTCGAGATAACACCAAGCGGAGGACTGGGTACGTTATTTCACTCATCGGGGTCAATCTAACATCAATATCGGACTTCTGCTGCATACAATGTTTACAAAAATAAAAAACATGAAATGTGCTAATGGTTACGAGATACTTTACAATGGCTTTGACATTCTTTATAGATTTTAATGACTTTGATGAGTGAAATGTATTGTTACAGAAACCAAGTGGATCATCCTGATAGCGGTGATGGTCGCAGTGGTCGTCATCATCATTGTGACCGCCGTCGCATGCGCCTGCCGACAAAAGGCCAAGTGAGTCATTGCAGATGCTGTTCTGAATATAAAAGAGCATAAGAGGATGCGTAAGAAAGAGGATTGGTCTCTTTGTCTTTAATTTAAGTTTTTTAATTTATTCTTGAACTTAATCAGTTTAGTATCCAGATATTAATTATTTACAATTCTGGTTTAAATTAAAGGTTCCAATTTTGAGCATATTATCAGAACTATGAGTTCAAAGTCAGAATTATGTGAGTCTAAATTCTGGCCTTAACATCGCCCATCAGACTTTAATCTCAGAATTCTCAAGTCAGAACTAAACTCGTTTTTACATGTGGCCCTGATCCTTTTCCAAGTGTGTGTGTGTGTGTCATCATTGCTAACCAACATGTCCCAGATGTAGAACACCACCACTGTCCTCTCAAACCAAATCCACTCTCATCAAGGCCCAAAAGTTTTATTTTTATTGCAGGTCACAAGTTTATGTAATTCAGAAGCAGCGGTCATCTCACAGTAAGTGAGAGAAAATTACAGTGACATCACAACCTTTACACGTTGGGGGATTTCTGGGAGCTCCCTATATGAGCACTGGGAAAGGAATGAGGGGGGGATGCTTTCACGCACTGACTGCCTTCACTCTACCTTCATCCCCAACCGTCCGCAATCTCTGCTGCTCTCACCGCGTCTTATCCATCCCGTGCACTGAGATCAGGTGAGGTCCCTCACCTCGGTTCTTTCTGTCCGCAGGAATCGCAAGGGAAACATGGAAAGGCTCAGCTTGAAATCAACAAGTAAGATTACGTCATCACTGCTCGTGGAGGATTAAGATTACAATCCTGAGCAGGGAATAACACTCGCACAGATAACGGATCGCATGTGGTTCTAGTTTATGATGTTGTTCGGGTTTAATTTAAACTCAATTTAAAAAACAGAACAAATCACCACGCATTATATCTTTTTCTACCCATCTTCCCATGTGTATGTAACTAATGGGGAAAAAATAGATTTTCTTTCTCAAATATTCTTCACGTAATGCCACTTGAAGAAATACTTCCCGTATATTTCCAGGCTGGTATCCTGCGCCGCGTAAATTAATAATTAACTGCTGCACGGATCCCTTAGTATCCTAGTTTAATCTTTCACACTTTTGTACATTGATTTTCTGTGTTATCGTTGACAGGTTGTCTTAATACACGGCCCTACCTAACCCTTTATATTAATATTAGGAGAAGTTGTAAAAATGTGTTTTGCATAAAGTAGAACCTCGCTGCAAGTATTTGAATTACGTAATCTCCTAATCTATCAGAATCAGCAGACAGATCCAAGTTCTTCCTGATGATTCGTTTTCCCTAATAAATCTTTTGTTTTTTTGTCTTACAGCTGTTTTGTACACAGACATGGACAAAGAAAGAAAGGACAAAATGACAACTATGTGAATACAAAAAGAAGCTTCTTCAGCAGAATATAAACCGTGTCAGAAAAGGAGGTTTCGTGAGAGTTTTGAAGATTATTGATGTGCTTCGTATGTTTATGTTTTTATTTTCTTAACTTGTGCTTTTTAAAGATGTCATTTTAGTCTGTTGTGCACGTTTAAATGACCAGAAAAGTTAAAATCTGTATGTGTATGCGTTGGTTTATTTATGGTATTAAGTGCCATGGTGTGATGTCTCCGTTGAAAAGGGTTTTCATTAAAACAGATTAATCTTTACACTTCAGTTCAATCCTTTAACTGACATTCTTATGGCATGATTAAAATCTTCAAAGTTTGAGCACTTTCAAAAAAAATACACTAAATGCTTCATATTTTGACAGTGATTAGCAACATCATCAATTTCAAAGGATTTTAAATATTTTGTGAAGGGTCAAAATTGAAAAACAATTAACAAAAAGGACACACTTGTTACCTTTCAGAATAGACATGTCCTCCCAAAATGCTATAAGAAATACTCTGAATTTATTTTGACACTTTTCATTTAAAAGTTTTAAAACACCTTCTGTCCTGATCAATTATACCAAATATTAATTTTCAGAAAATGTTCCCCAGTGTATTTCTTCATACAATACCACTTTTCTTGAAACGAAACACAAACATGTTGAAAGTTCAAGTCCTTTCAGAATGTCTGCCATGTACATTAACACAGCCGAAAGAATCCAGACTTAGAAAATAAAACAAACAAAAATTCCACAAGAGCCAGTAAAAGGTTCTGTGAGACATAAAGGGGGAATTATGTACAAGCATAGCTGAGCGCACTTCCACCGCGGACAGAGATCCCCCGACACACACTATTGTGTCGATGCCTTGTTGTATCAATAATATTGAACTGTAAATGAACAGAATTCGTCTAAAAAATGTAGTTCAATAAAAAGGACAATATCCAGAGAGTAAAAGCATAATTATAGCAGAAAATACTAAGTATTTAAACTCATACTTCCAACACTGATTCACTGAATTGACGCTCTCTACTGCTGTTGGAATATTTGGAAGAATGATGATGAAAAAGATCAGTAATACACAAACTCGTCAAGTATCATGAAAACTACCTTGAATCGGCTACAAAAGCCCGACGACAGACCAGTGCATATTAAGCAGGACAACACAACACCTAGTAGTCATTTATTCAACATTAAGTGGGCAGAAAACTGGGAGCCTTCAAACATGTTACACAACAGCGAGCTTTCTGGCGCCGTCTGTGGCCCCTGAGACGAGGTTCCACGCCGAGGAACCGAATAGAAGGCACATTGAGAAAAAGAACAGCAGCAGCTGTGTTCGGCTCATCCTGATATTAAAACTCCAGTGTAAAAAAACAAGGCTCACTGGTGTACAAATCCACACGTGTACCCACACTCTACAACCTCAAATTCAAGATTCCTATAAGTACACAGGGCTCAATATTAAGTGTGTAATAAGTTGCTTTGATACTGCGATGGCACCATACGCGCATTCACATAAACAAAAAACAACCTTTTGAGATACAGAGCTCTCTTTCACAATGGAAGACAAAGGGCGAAAGTATTTTTGGTCCACGAGGTTTCATGTGACCCAGAAAATGTAATTCCTCTAGATCAAATTTTCTTCCTGAGGGTTTAGGTCAAAATTCTTAAAAGATCCTATGACTTGTATTGTCCAGTGCCACCGTCGTCGCAAATTTTCCCTGAAAGACCCTTTGGTCCATGACAAATGCAAATGTCAAAAGTCAGGACATTTGTAAACAGTCAAACAATTCAAGCTTCCAATAGTACGTAAATATTTACTGTTGTCCGTTTCTAGTCCTTGAGATTCAACTCTTCATTCAAAGTAGTTTGTAAATGAACAGATAAAAAAATAAATGATCAGATAAATTAAGTTTTATCCTAGAAACAACCTAAGGAATGAATCATTCTGTCAATATCCGTCTACTTTAAAGTGTTAACCTCTTCAATGAAATGCTGTGAATGCCGATTTCAGAAATGTAATACAACGTGAATGTAAACACAAGAAGTGAATCCAAGCAGCATTAATCCAATAACGAGCCCTCATAGCGGATGAACCTGGTTTACACTGCTCACTATGTTCAGTCTTTAATTCAGGGTTGTTGGACCATGGCGTGCATCCGGGGGCAAAACAAAGATGAAAAAACATTCATTTAAAACCTGAACATCAACTAAAAATATAAATCCTTAAGAAGAGTACATAAAAAATATATATATATAGTGTTAAGACTACAGAATGGTACTGGGTCGCATTGTATCCTCTTACCTTTGAACTATTCATATTTATTGTAATTACTGACGCATTACTTTTGACAGACACCCAAGGGAGCTGTTTGTTAATTACTACATTTACGTATTAGCATGTTTTTCTCTAGTCTAAGTTAGTATCACTATGAATATCACAGTTACAGTGAAATAGAAATGAACCTTGCTGGACCCACCCAGCTTTATCCGTGCTTAATAGTATCCTACATAAACCTTTTAAATATAATAGTAACTAAACATTAACATCACACGGGCATAAGAAGGAAATTAAAATAACCCACTGGGTAAAAAAGGAATGTGAGATAAAAGCCAGTGTAAAAATAATAATTGCTTATATGAACCAAAGAAATAAGGACGTATTGTGTACAGAATTGCTCCATCACCAACGAGCTCTGCTCCTCCGTCCATCACTCCATCTCCCGTCTTGTCGTCTCCAGGCAGACGGTCGTCCTCTCCCCAGAGGACGCAGGTGGGAGGGGACAAACACTGTGCATCTTCAGTCAAAACCTTCCTCTCCAGGTCATCTGAGGAGAAACATGAGTTTTCAGTATCCCATCCAGGATCAACTAGAGATATCTTTGTGAAACATAACGAACGTTGAGTCCAAACATGGTGCTACTCTAAGTTTAACTCATAAACAGTCCGAATACGAACAAAAGCCAATTTCACACAGTTTTTCCAAAACAACTGAGTGTTCTACACAAGAATGAGGATGTGAATGAGGAGCCTCATTAAAAAGGCTGGTTGCGTTACACAGTCGCCCCCTCACATTCAGCATTGTGCTGATTCTCCACTTGAGGGAACTGCTTTGTTATTGGCACACAAATTTGACCAATGTCAAATAGGGCTGTGTTTTTTTGGGAATGGTAAAGGCGACAGGACACCTTCATTTCCAGGTTGTTACAAAAATCTTTTGAATAAAAGTATAGTTTTTTAGAACATTGACATACCTTCTTTTGAGAACTGTGTTTCACCACATTTTATTATAAAAAAAATATCATGCGGTTTTGACTTGACATTGTTTTTTTGTTTCCCCAAATGGAAATGTCTGTGTTTGGTGAGTTGCAGCGTATTTAGCTGTGTAGGCCTACTATACTTCCATCAATACTCATTTGTGTCACTAATATATTCCAGATCCATGATAAAGTTAAACTTGGTTTCACATAAGCTTAAACAATTGCAACGCGCTCCTCCATTCTACGCGCACTGAATGCAGAACTACGACTGTAGTTGTATATTTGGAGCTCATAATGGGATTTCAAAGCATTCTGCCGTGAGCTTCTTACCTGCCGTGAGCCTCTTTGATTGGTTCCAGCACCAACACCTTACACTCTCTCTTGGCTATTTTGTCCGTTGAGATGAGGGCGTGGTCGGGAGGCGGGGGCAGGGCTCTGCCGATTAGAGGTCCAACGGGAGGGGTGGCGGCCCGTTGCACCATCACACTGCCTGACCTGGAAGCAGCGGAAGGTAAAAGCGGAAGGTGTAGGTTTGTCTGTAAACTGTCCGCATGGCGCTATAAACACAGTCGGCTGAACGCTCCCTACCTGACGTGGTTTGACCTAGACGCCTGCTGGTGGGAGAAGCTCTGAGATCGGCCCGGGCCGTGCCGCTCCAGCAGCTCTCTGGTTGCGGGGCCGGATGGCGATGATGGCGACGGAGAGTGCCTCCTCGGCGACCGGGGCTCCGCGGGTGGAGTGGACACCAAGGTCGAGAATTGGAGCTTCAGTTTCATGTGCTGGCTCAACTACGGCGGTGGATGGGCGAGACGGGAGTGTCACAGGGATCATTTTTGGGCTATGAACTGAACTTACTGTTCAAGCGCATCGGGAACAGGCACGCAGTACCTCAAAGAGTCCAGCCCGGAGGATCTGGAAGGCCACGGTGAAGGAGAGGGTGGAGCCCTTCCTACACTGTCCCAGGTTGTTGAGGGGAGAGCGGCACACCACTGCTGGGTGGGCCCTGTGGTCCCGCTGGCCTCCTCTATCAGCTAACCAATGAATGGATGTATGCAGGTGGGGAACAAGTGGTAGGGGAGAGGAGGAAAAAAGAATGTGGAACTGGATCAGGATGAGTCAGAGGAAGCGCTGCTACTTTTATCGTTGGCAGTCTATCTGTGGCACACAAAGCCCCGTCAAGCGATTCATCGCGTTTTCATTGCATCGTTCCTCTATTTCAAACATTTTTTTGCACATCAAGAGAGTTGCGTTTTGCCGTGAAACTATAAAATAGGTCATTAGAAAGACAACACACCCAAAGCAGTGGAAGTAAAGTGTGTTTCATACTGGGATGCACATACACCAGCAACGGGTTAGAACTATCTAGCAAGCCAAAGTGACGGCAACATTAGGGACACTCGGGGTGGACTCCTCCCGTAGGCGCAGCCCGAGAGGGAAATCTATTCTAGATGTGAGCCTATTGACCGCACAACAAACACATTGATTGGTTTTGCTGCGCTGCTAAGGGGTCTGGGTAGTTTCTCTGTCATGGAGCCGCACAGACCCGTTTCAATAACGCAGCTTTCGATGTGTCATTGGGCAAAACACAATTAAACGTGAATGGCTCCTGTAGCTGTGACTACTGTGAGTGGATGCTAGTTACTGATGGGCAGGTGTCACTGTGTGTGTAGCTGCTGTCATCAGGGTGTGAATGATGACTTCCCATCTCCATTCCCAACTAAAAGCCTCAATCTACTTAAGATGTGATTTAACTCAGCCATCACCAACCATCTATTTGGATTTGGATTACTAGTTTTGCTTGACTTTGTTAAAGTATGAAACAATATCTATATCCCAAAATTGTGAGTGAAACTTACTGCCGAAACAAGATTAAAGCAGATATCTCTTGTGCTGGAGCATGAAATGGAACGGTCAAACACTACAGTTCCTAATATCTATCATAGGTAGTTCATCATAGTTTTTTGCTTGGGGAAGATCAAAGCAAAAGGTAGGATTAGATCCAGTTTAGTTTATAGTGTTAGACTTCTTGTATGCTAACTAGCGCTAAACAGCCATGTTGCATTGAATATTACTACGCATGCAAGTTTGCATATCAGTCTCTCTCTCTCCCCCGCGTTCTGCCTGTGGTCTCCCGGCTCTTTTAAATCGCTCTCACTGTCGGCAAACGACACGCGGGGTCTCTACCCACAGAGACCTGCATGGGGGGGTCCTGAGCTAAAAGGAAGGTTTATAAGATCTGCTATTTCTTTGGAGCACAATAAGTGATCACTCTCAACGGTAAAGTCTGCTACTCACCGTCTGAATTCCAGATGAGGCGGATGGACAGGAAGTCCTGCAAGTGGTTAAGCAGGGTGTACTTCACCCAGAAGCGCTCCAAAGGCCTGACCATGCGGGGACAGGAGGCCGTCATCACCAGCAGAGGACGTTCCAAGCGGATACTGGGCAGCGAGTAACAACTGGAGACGTACCTGGAGGGAGAGAACACTACTGTTTTCCCCTGATTGACGTGGCTCACAGCAGCAAAAGGACAGGGGACACAAATGCTGCGAATGATAGCGTTCCATTTTGAATCACTCACACGTGTGCACTTCCTGCTCAGACATCTACAAAGGAGGAGCCGTTACCTTGTTAAAGGCAGTGTTGGAGTGTACCACTGTAACACAGCCACCATCTGGACCTCCAAACCCTACGGAGCAAAAGGATTAGGATACACAATGAATTCAAACTATTAAAACAGGTCAGAGACAGTGCTGCACTGGGTCAAATGTTCATTCATCAACGTGATGCTTAACAAATACTGAGCAAGTGATTTCCTTTAATAAACTTCAGTTAGTAAAAGCTTAACTTGGTGGCAGCTTGTTCAAAATGTGCGCAAAACCCCAGTACCCCCTCCCCCCCCCCTCACACACACACACAACTGATCCCACAGTCCATTAATGACCTGCGAGTGTTCGTTCTCACCTCGCTGGAGTCCTCTTTCGCTTTGTCTTGCAGCTGCAGCTGGAAAAGGAAGTTGTGCTCCTCCAGGGCGCTGAGCGTGCTGGGTAAGCATGAGGACTCGCCGTCCATCCGACAGAATGACGCCACGGTGACCTCTGCCGATTGGTGGCTTTAGGAGGAAGTGGAAACAAAAGATGTACCTTATGTGTTCAGTGATCCAATGCTCTTCCTGATTTGACCACATGCAGCACAGGGAACGCGGGAGGATGAAACAAATAGATGTGGTGCGCAGCTCTGCGAGGCTGTACGCCAAATATGCTCAGCACAAATCAATGTCATCATACCGTCTATGATGTAGGAGCAGTTGAGACGGGAATTAATGTTTTACTCAAACAGCCACACTGAAAACAAACACGAGTGCTACGGAGAAACAAAGGTTATGCAAATGATAAGCCAGAAAACAAAGCTTGTGATGCAAACAAACAGAAGATTGTTCTGCGGAGTTTGTAGCCACCCTCTCACATCAATCTGCCCTTGACAACATAATGGCTGCACATGAGATAGAGCCTCCAGTGAAAAGCATACATGGTTGCCCTCCAGCGCCACTTGACACAAATAAATGAGTAACTAAATATCCTCGGGACAGACGTTCAGAGCTATAACACCGTGGGGAAGTGGTCCGTGCGCAGCAGATATTTGGGAAGTCCCTGGAACTATTCATCAATGTATGTCTGCATTACCCCGTTGCTCAGGGTTACCAGTCGGTCTTAGCCGCTGCAAACCTCTCTAAACTAAAACAGTCTAATGAAGACATTATCATTTATAGCGGTGCAGTGGAAACGTTAAAATATCCAGCAGCACTTGAACGACCTCTGAACAATGTTCCCTTGTTTGTTCTAAGTTTCATTACTTCCACACTGCACATCCTTTGGTCCACAGCAACATGCCCGCCAAGCGTAACAGGTATTTGTACCTGTGGGTTAATTAAGAGCTTACCAGACGTTGTCGACTACGAGGACGGAGCCGTCTGGCATCATGGGGAGGTAGGACGAGTTATAGTTAGGAAGTATCTTCACGTCTCTGACACACAGCTCATCCTGAGAGCTGCCGTTCAACACTGGCCAGGCAAGAGAGGGGGGGGGGAAGATATTGGCAAAACGTTTTACGTTGTGTTAAGATCTGTGTGTTCGTAGGTGTGTTTGTTTGCCGACCTTTGAGGACAGTCAGGTGTTTGCCAGAGACAGAAATGTGTCTACATTGGACACTCGGAGGTGGAAGAATATTCAGGATGGTGCTGACTGGAAAACAGGAAACAAGGGTTAGAACCTGGCACATTGCTACAGGTGTTCAGCCACCAGAGAGAAAAAAAAAAGACTTTAACAAGTGGCTCACAAGGTAATTGGGGAGAAGAATACATGGATATTTAGTTTGAGATAGTTCACACTAATCTGCAATAATTTTGTTTTGCACAGGTTGCACTTTATCGGTATTATCTAAAAGCTGTTCAGTGCAAAACAGGCTAATTACAGCCAAAATAAACCATTTTCTGCTGAATGTTTGTTATATTTAGAACATTAATTGCATTGATCTAACAAGATGCTTGTACATTATATTTGTTTTTAGCTGATCAATCTGGTTTACTTGTGAATATTTGTATTCCATTATTTGAAAAAGAATAGATGGAGGAGTCACAAAATGTTATTTTAATAAAAATTCACCAGGTACAATTCTGTTGAGGCGATGGGTCATGAACATTCACCTTCCTCCAAAGTGGGACGTGACAGAAAGGGTTTCAGAACTGCTTGTTTAAACAGGGACATTTTTATGGGGGAAATGCGTGGAAATTAATAAAACAATGTAGATATTGTTTTATTAATGTGCTAAATTTATGAGAAAAAAAAATCCAATTCTTAGATTAAAGTGGTGATTTTGAGTTAAAACTCCCAAATCTATGACAAAAAAAATTCTCTGACACTATAAAGTCAGAAATGTGCTGGTAAAATATCTGAAAATGTTGCTGTATTTGTTGTTGTTAGTTGTGATTAGCAACCACAAGGCTTCGCTTTGCAAGACACACCACAGGCGCCGCTCGGCGTGTCTCCTGTCTGCCGCGGAGAGAAACAGAGTGCATTTACCCTGCGCCCTGAAGTCGCTGAGGTCCTGCCTGAAGGTGTGCGTTGGACTCCGGAGCTGCAGGAGAGTCAGGTAGCCGTGTTCCCTCACCTCCACCTTCTCCTCCTCCTCCTGCCTCCACACCGTCACTATGACCTGGCAGCACAGGAGGGCAGAACGTTTCGGCAATATCTTTGCTGTTCACCTTCATTTAGTCGTCCTGATGAATTAGTCCAGTGTGGGAGGTTTCACACAGGTCGGATGTAAAACATTACCATTCCAAAATGAGCAGAGACACCAAAGACTTACCACCAACGGAACATTGACCAACATGTGGTCCGAGCCCGTGCGTGTCTGCAGACTGACCTTTGCTTTCAGCGTGGTGACTGGCAGCTTGTCCAAAGAAACAGTGAGACTGAAGATGACCTGGTCCTCCAGAACCAGAGCAGACTGCAGGAGGACAAGCGGAGCACATGTTGAGAGATTAAAGACGAGAGGGGTTGTTTTGGTGACTGTATGTGGAATAACAAAGAGATCATTGCCGAGATGGTCTACTGTGTCTGTAAGCTACACTAATATAAATGACGGGCGGCCACTGCAGTTTCCACACAGGTGACATCTTCAAATGTCTTGTCATTGTTTTGACATTTTGATAGAAAAGCTGAAACTGCTGCAACTTTGATTGTTTAACACGAAGCCTGGAGGCGATTTACAGGCGCTGAAGTCACCGGTAACAAACATCACTGCACTGATCAGGCAGCAGATACGAGAGCGCAGACAGGAAGTGGATGGCTGGCTGTGGCTTGAGTTCCCCTCACCTCAGGAAATGAATGAAGTGACTTCCTGTCCCACTGAAGGCAGGTCACTATAGTGAAAGGCGGTGGCTTTGAGTCAAGGTGATCCATAATGACCACCAACACAAGTCGTTGTCAGATGGTAAACACAGTGCAGAGCGTTCCCGTGCATGTTCCGTCTTACCTTCACCGGGTCACTCGCAGACTGTCTCCCTCCGGCGGCCCGGCTGTTATGAATGAGACGCGGGCTGCACTGCGTGAAAGTCCGCCTGCCCTCCTGCCCCTCTCCGCTAGGCTCTCTCCCCCCGGGCTCTTCTCCCCCGTCCTCCTCGCTGCTGGTGCTCAGCAGGTCCGGCTGGTACTCTTCGCCGGGTCTCTGCTCGCGGCTCTCGGCCACGCAGGCGCTCGCCAGAGCCGACAGAGATCCGGCCAGCTGCTTCCAAGCCGCGGCCCGGGAGCCGTCATCCCTCCCCGCGGGGGTCCGGGACCGCAGCACCAGCAGGAACTGGACGACCTCGCCGAGGTATGCGTGGTTCCGACGCGGGAGAGTCGCGTAGTCCGCCGGGTCCGACAGACTCGATATCGGAGCGGCAGGAAAATACATGAAATACTCGCATTGTGCTTCCATCACTGCGACTGTAAACTAACATTTCCTGTTAAACATCTGCTGCCTCGCAAAGTGCCCGTTACCGTGTGGGGAAAACACCGTGTGTCACGTCCAAATGGAACCGCTAGCCGAACCAGCTTAGTTTAGTCCTCTACTTTTACTAGCGCAAACAGGATTAAAGTAAACCCCGTGTCATTGATAGCCATTGAGCTTCCGTATCAATACAAACAACAGAGCGGCTAATCGAGTACAGATCTCTGCCCAGACCACACTAGTCAATCAGCAGACGGCTGAACGCAGTGCCGCGGCTGGGTCTCATTTGGTGGGATGCGTCCTTGAGACGACCTGAGACGGGTCCTCCAACGACGCTTGACAGTAAACGCTTTAAACCCGAAAAACATGATGGTATAATCTTCTAATGTGATATATTATATATATTTTAGGCAAGTTATGATATTTTAGGCTTTTCCAGTAATTTAAAGTTCAATACAGTCAATAAACGCACATTAAATTGTATGGAGACTTTTTTTCTTTCAAAAGCTAATTTAATAAATAAATATATTACAGAAGATGTCAAAGCTACAGTAGCTGAATGTTAGCACACGCACATCGTTCTCCCCCTTAGCGTGAGGCTAATACAGTGGATACGGAAAGTGTTCAGACCCCTTTTGATGTTTCACGCTTTGTTTCATTGCAGCCATTTGCTAAAATCAAAAAAGTTCATTTTATTTCTCATTAATGTACACTCAGCACCCCATCTTGACAGAAAAAAATAAAACACATTTTTGCAAATTTATTTAAAAAAACAAAAAGAAAGAAGTGTGTTTAAGAAAACACATGGTGATAAGTATTCAGACACTGTGATCAGTATTTAGCAGAAGCAGCCTTTTGAGCTAATGCATCATTCCCAAGACGACTCATGGTGTTATGGAATATTTCGATAAAAGCTCGGTAGAAGAGAATGATTTGTCTGATAAAACAGAGTCTTGATGAATGATCAAAGTTGCAAAAAGTCCATTTATTGCTTGCAAGCAGGAGGTCAAATACACAGGCACGTATCACGGTGCTCTGTGTAAATGGCGTCTCCGAGCAGTAAGAACGCTGAGTTTTTATACACATGTGAAGGACATTCTCCGTGCCAGTTACGAGAAGCTGCAAAACAGGTTGAGATAAGAACCCAGGTGAAGCTGAGGGTAACACACACACACAAGATCCTCCTCAGTGGCCGGTGCAAATCATAATTAATTGACATAAAAGTAAAACTTGGATTCAGAACTTTCGTACCGAATGAGATATGAACTAAGGCCGTGAACAGAAGTCCTTTGTTTTGAAGCTTCTATGAGATCGAGTTGACCGTCCTCCCTTCTCAGGGCTGTTACGTTTTGGGGGTGTTTGTGTTGGTTTGTGTCCTGTCTCTCCATGTACAGGAAATCGGCAGGCAAGATGCCTACCCTTCACCCAAGGTGCAGCCGATTGGATACGACCGACCTGGACTCCTCCCCTTCATTATTGGATGCAGCTGGTGCAGGTCTATAAAGACCTGTCATTGTAGATCTTTGGGGAAAGGGGGGTTCTGCAGCCCTGATGGCAGAGCGCTTCTGGTGGCTCGCTGGTGTCCTCTCTCCTGGTTCTGTGTTTATTTCCGTCGTTGGGGTTTGTGAGTATCTTGTTCAGAGAGAGAGAGTGAGTGAGTTTGTTTGTTAAAAGGTAGTCCCAGAGCGTGGGCTCTTTGGGTTAGTGTGTATGTTATATTTGTTTTGTATACTGTTATTTGAGTTAAACATTTTTCTTCCTGTGGTTATCGATGACAATATATTGTGTAATTGGAATTCAATTCCACGCTAAGTGGAAATACTGGACTGGGCTGGCTCCACGTTCACACGCTCAAGAATCGAGTCTGACAGGTCCACCTCGTCTCCCAACCTACGGGACTGGGCCCGTGTAAGCACACAAGCTGGGAACACATGAGGGTAAGCCTGTACTAAAATGTCGTCCGTAGGTTCCAGGGTAGGTGTGTCCACCACCTCTAACATGGGTGTTACATGGCCACCGGCAATGTCATTCCCAAGCAGAAATGTGACTCCCTCCACCGGCAGAGTTGGTACCACGCCAACACGAAAACGTCCCGACACTAGTTTGGACTTTAACCAGACCCAATGCAGTGGTACAGACATGGGGGTTGCTCCGAGTCCTTGTAGAAGGACGTTTGACCCACAGTATGACCCATGGGACCAGGGCAGGCTGTCTGCTAGTACTAAAGACTGCGCTGCCCCCGTGTCACGCAGTATGGTGACGCTCATTTGGCCAACTGGTTCCCCTGTAAGGGACACATTCCCACCTGACACAAACGGAGCATACACCTGATCTGGCTTCTCCCCACCCTCGTTTGTATTATTGCTGTTTGTCTGAGACATGGAATGTATTAAGTTTATGCTTTTCGATCGCACCGGTGACGGTGCTTTCTTGTTTCTCAGAACCGGACACACCGCTATGAGGTGACCGGGACGATGACAATAAAAACACTCACGTGTCTCCTGTGCAGATCTGGTCTCACCCAGAGAAACACGGCTGGCATGAGATGCTGTTGTAGGCATTGTTGGCGGTCGAGCCTCTTGTCGCGGTGCCGTAAACATTATTTTGTGAGTCAAAGCGTACTCATCCGCTAACACAGCGGCTCGAGACAATGTCGGCACTTTCTGTTCGTTTAAATGCACAACAATTCTGTCAGGTAGATGGTTTTTAAAATCTTCTAAAAGGACCAGCTCCCTTATCTCAGCAAACGTCTTGACCTTGCTAGCCGCACACCAGCGATCGAATAGTGTCTCTATATCCCTGGCGAACTCTACAAAAGTGCGGGTCTGAGGCTTTTTGTGGTTCCTAAAACGTTGTCTATATGCCTCTGGAACCAACTCGTAGGCCCTTAACACAGTTGCTTTAACTATTTCGTAATCCCCACTCTCTTCTAGAGAGAGAGACGCCACAACCTCCTGGGCTTTGCCAGACAGTTTGCACTGCAGGAGGATGGACCAAACCTCCTGTGGCCAGTGCAACGCCGTAGCCACACGCTCAAATGCTGAAAAGTATGAATCTACTTCAGCCTCCCGGAAAGGCGGCACTACCGCAATATTCTTGCTCACCTCAAACCGACCGAGGTTGGGAGCTAACGGAACCCCAACACCCGCCTCTAACTCGAGCTGCCTGATTCGCACCTCTTTCTCTGCATCTATTTCTTTCTTTCTAAGTTCAAATTGTCTGTCCTTTTCCCTCTCCTCTCGTTCCATCTCTAGGCGAGCCAGCCGGTACTCGAGCCTAGCCGCAGCACTTCTGGACCCAACAGAGGAACGAGGCGAAAGGTCGGCCCTCGGTAAAACCACTGGTGCAGCGGCCCCCAAACCCTGTTCATCACCCAGCAGTGCACCCACAGTCTTTTCATCCCCAGACTCTTCACCTGAGGCCTCACTGCCCTCGTCCACCCCCTCACAAACCCCCTGGTGAACCAACCCTTTTTTTATTAACTCTAACATCCCTGCCTTGAGGGCCTGCCTTGGGACGGAGATTTTATAATGATCGGCGACGGCGAATAACTCTGACCTGCGCATCCCTCCCAGCTGGTCAAGGGATGGAGCTGCTAGAAAAACAGCCAGTGCTGGAGCAGCCATTCTAGTAGGTACACACGCCACCACCACTACTACAAACCAAACTAGCAACTTGTTGCTGAAATCACCCTACAACACCACACCTTCGCACCAGCACCCACCAGGACCTTGTGCTCACAGGGAAGTCGGGAGATTGACGATCCCGGACGAGCCCCCACTTGTTACGTCTCCCTTAGTCTAGGTGTAAGGGAGCGCAACCCCCGCAAACATGAGCCCTGATGAACGCGGCGACCAGAGGTATGGGGTTGTGGTGTGAGTGACGACTACTGGCACAGGCAAACGGTGTAAACAAAATAGGAGGTTTATTCTCTCCTTAAAAGGAAAAACCAAACAAATGTTCAGGGGAAAAGGGGCTGGGCGAGACCAAAGCAAAGAAACAAGCAAAAAGGGTGAACACTTCCCTAACTGACCTAATTCCCCCCCCCCCCCCCCCTTTACTCTACCTCGGGCACGGATGAGGCCCGCTAACCAAAAGTACAGGGAGTGGTCCGCCCAGGTCTTGCCTAGTGTATCTAGACAGGCAGTCAGCTACGGGTGGTGTATACCCATGGGTCTCAACTAACATTTTGTATCATGCTGCTCTTTGCGCATCAGGGTCAAATATAGGACACTTGAGACACGGCTTTAGCACAAAACAATGTTTTAACATATTTTAGCATTACAATGGCTGTAAGTTTTTCACACCTGGATTTGGGGATCCTCTGCCATTCTTCCTTGCAGATCCTCTCCAGTTCAGTCAGGTTGGGTGAACATTGGTTTTTTAGGTCTCTCCAGAGATGCTCAATTGGGTTTAGGTCAGGGCTCTGGCTGGGCCAGTAAAGATTGGTCAGTTTTTCCGAAGCCACTCCTTTGTTATTTTAGGATAATTATCTTGTTGGAAGGTGAACCGTCGGCCCAGTGGGAGTTCCTGAGCACTCTGGATGAGGCTTTCTTCCAGGATATCGTTGTACTTGGCCGCATTAATCTTTCCTTCAATTGCAACCAGTCGCCCTGTCCCTGCAGCTGAAAAACACCCCCATAGCATGATGCTGCCACCATGTTTCACTGTTGGGATTGTATTGGGCAGGTGATAAGCAGAGCCTGGTTTTCTCCACACACACCACTTGGAATTAACACCAATATCTTGGTCTCATCAGACCAGAGAATCTTATTTCCCATAGTCGGGGAGTCCTTCATGTGTTTTTTGGCAAACACTATGCAGGCTTGCATATGTCTTACGCTGAGGAGAGGCTTCCGTCCGGCCATAAAGCCCCGACTGGTGATAGTTGACTTTGTGAAACTTTCTCCCATCTCCCTACTGCATCTCTGGAGCTCAGTCACAGTGATCTTTGGGTTCCATTTACCTCTCTAACCAAGGCTCTTCTCCCATGATTGCTCAGTCTGGCTGGATTCTCTTTCGCTCTGACATGCATCGTGAGCTGTAAGGTCTTATATAGACAGGTGTGTGCCTTTCAAAATCAAGTCCAATCAGTTTGATTAAAAACAGCAGAACTCCAATGAAGGAGTAGAACCACCTCAAGGAGGATCAGAAGAAATGGACAGCGTGTGTGTTAAATATGAGTGTCACAGCAAAGGGTCTGAATACTTATGACCATGTGATATTTCAGTTTTTATTTTTTAATTTGCAAAAAATTCTAAATTTCAGTTTTTTTTTCTGTCAAGATGAGGTGCTGAGTGTACATTAAAGAGAAATAAAATGAACTTTTTGGATTTTAGTAAATGGCTACAATGAAACAGAGTGAAAAAATGAAAGGGGTCTGAATACTTTCCGTACCCACTGTATGTGCGTTCTGATGTGTATGTTTTATCCTCCTTAAAATTACAAACCAATAGTTTATCATACGATAAAAGCCCCACGCACTAGTACCTTAGGAAGTCTCTCGTCTCCGACAGTCAGGATTAATATATAATAATATATGTAATATAGGCAAAAAGGAGTTTAGCTCAAAGTACGGCGAGACAGAAAAGTGTCAGGAGCCGTTCTGTGAAGGGAACGCTCCCTTCTCAGAACGGCACTAACAGATCTCAGTTGGGTACGTAGCGACATGGACCCCCCTCCTCCTCCTCCAATCCCATGTAATGTTTAAATATCACTAATACTACCCACATGTTACAACATTCATATACACACAATCCACATAGAGTGTAATATATAATTCTTTACAAAGCATATTAAACAATTTTCTTTGTAGCTGAGGCAAAGCTATTTTCAAGGAAGGTGTTATGTTATTTTGGACACACAATTTAGTCAGCCGACCGCTACGTTACTCTAATTACATATTTCAAATAATATTATAAACTGCTTTTTCTCATTCAATATATATTACTTGGTTTTAAGCAGCCTTCCGTGATGTGCTTTTCCACTCTGCCTTGCTCTCTTTTAGATGGTGCTTAGCTTAGCACACCATTTAAAACCATTCATAAACATTGGTGTAGTATAGTTGAAAAAGTATTTTTCACTGAGAATAATTTTAATGGATAAATAAAGAATGAAGTCAGTGCCATGTGTCAAGTCATCTGTAGACCCAGACAAAATCAAGAAGATGTCTTAGTGGAGTTTTGACTTTATTCAGTACATGAAATGGAGAAAACGACAGATGCACACATAGAGGGTGATCCAGCACAAGTTTTACCCCCCAAAATCAAAATCAATAAAACACTTTTCAAGTAGATCCAAGCCAAAGTACACCGTCGCTATATGGGACAGCCGTTCATTCTAGTGAAATTTGTAACAGCTTGTGAGAATATCAGATCAAGGAAATATTTAATGTCAGTAATAACCAGGCACAGTGCAATGGGAATCACAGCACTGGGATGGATGCTGCTCCGATGAAGTGGTAGAAGACAAACTGCACTGTGCATACTGACGCATAATGTTCCTTTTACTCTGACATTCAGTGTAACACACAACACGTTCACGTGTGAAAACTTTAACACCAGTAGAATAACAAAACTAGATAACATCAGAATTCCATTTCTCCTGGACAAATAAAGGCAGAGCTGAACAGATTTTCTGTTTACTTTTGACTTTCTGCGGGCAGTCAGCAGAGAGTTTGCTTTTGTAAGCGGGAGTAGATTTAGGTATTTGTGTGCATAGTGTATCCTGGAAACACTCTTTACTCACCAATGTGACAGGACTTCGTTTTAAATCATTTTAAGACCCTTATGTCTCAGATGCGACTCTGGGAATATTGTATTTATGAGACGATGCGATACGCATAATGTGGACTAGTTAAGGATTTGCAAAAAAGAAAATCACATCTGGAATGATCCAATTGACGTTTGTTGTGTTTAATTTGTATTTCTAATTACACTCTACCGAAACTCTAAATGTGGATGATTACATTGTTCAAAAAATTTGGCACAATTGAAAATCCTTTTTAAAATCACACAAATCGGTGAAATCAATAAAAACAACATGGAAATATGAGCCAAACGTCACTGCTGAGTGCCATATGGGGAAGCGTGTGCATGAGCAACAGAATTCCGATCGTCACATTCTCTTAACCCTCATTAATACAGTAGGCTTATGTACAAAACGGCAATCAATAAATTCAGAAGGACGTTGTCTGAACGCCCTGCTCCGCAATACGACTGCATCCTAAGGCGGGAAAAACAAAGCATGTTGAATTTCTGTTATGTGACTTGGCATTCATTCTATATGGTGAAAATAAAATATCCCTCCCCAGTCAATTATAGATAGTCCCAATGTTTATGTTATGTTTACAGGCACGGTCGTTTGCCAGAGCGGCTATGCTAGGTACGCTAGCTGGTGCGGTGATGCGGTTGTTGGATGTGGTTTGGCCCCAATGAAATAGTTCCTACATGAAACTGCTAACGACAAGGACTGTGGATAGGGTTGAGTAACCAGGTTATAATTTCTGGAAGTGCACTTTGTCACCTGACACCTCGTTTTGTTATATTGGAGAGAAGGCAGACTCCTTACAGCCGATATTTCCAACACACAGTATTTCACACCAAAACATCTACACCGGTGAATATCATTACAGATAAAAGGAAATAGGTTTATTTTTGGGCTAGGCTACCCCTTTAAGCAGTGGTCCCCAACCACCGGGCTGCGGACCGGTAACGGTCGGTGGGGCATTTGGTGCCGAGCTGCACAGAAAGAATAAATGACATTTATTTTTATTTTTTTACTTACAAAAAACGTAACATCTTTGGAAAGAGGAAAAGCCCCCGAGGAGACAGAAGAACCTACAACTTAAAAAAAATATTGCATCTGGTAATTCTCATGCTCCAAGCTCGCTCTTTCGTTGTGTTTGTCCACCCCATCTTGAAGAAGGGTCCGCAAAATACTGTCTTAACATGAAACCGGTTTGTGAGGCAAAAAAGGTTGGGCACCACTGCCTTTAAGCATCTTGTACAATGACCTCAATGAGCAGCTCTTAAACTCAACAGATGGTACAAACACTGTTGGTTCTTTCCATTAAATGCAACCATAATGGGGCAATACAGCTTCAACACTGAACACGTAGATGGAAATCATTTGAGTCTGTGAGCAAGGAGGAAACTCAGCGACATTTCTGATTTGCTGCAGTTTGCACTGATTTTAATAAGCAATCTCTCACTGAGTCCAAGTGATTTGTCCCACATCCCAGTTTTTCAGTGGTAGAAAAAGTGTTACGGGGGGCTCCATCTTCCATATAAAGGCCACTGTGATGTTGGATTAACCGAAACAACCTATCTGCAAGTAGAGCTTCACGTTGTACTGGAATAAATAGAAAGCAATGTTCGCCTGGAAGGAGCGAACCGAGGCAAACGCAGGTACATCACTTTTCATTTGAAATCCTAGAGAGTTCTTTATTTCCTCAGTGTCTAAAGGAAGCTGAACAACAAACCTCCTATTCATGGGAGGAAACAGAGCAGGCAGCCATGACAACACAATGCTGTGCAGCCGATTCCCCTCCGGCTGTAAGGTGACGCCGCTCACACGCTCTGCCGTTATGTGGAACACTCTCTGTTTGGAACTATTAGCATCAATCATTTCAATGTCCAAATGGACCGCCAACAAGCTCCGAGCTGATCGCATCTGAACAAAATATATATCTGATTGCTACGGAGAAGCTCTTTGAGGTGCTTTGATGCTTGTGCGCAGACCGCAGCCATCCAGTCCCCCCGCCGCTAGAGAGGGGCCTGCTTTGGGTTTCCTGTACCACACAACTGAACTGCAACAACACCTACCCTCAAGTTCGTATTAATTACCCCCCAGCAGGGTAATTAGCTCAGCTTAACTCGTTCTGAGATGCTAACGTGATTCTGCATGAATGTTGCACGTCTGGTTCAGACCGACGACGCAGAGACGAGTTGAAACCCGTGACGTTGTGCAAGCGGCCTGTTCACACCAAAGCAACCAGACAGGGAAGGTTCTCTCTGGTCCTCTCGCTGAACCGCTGGCTTCACCGGCCCACTGCTTTGTACGTTTAGTCTGCACCGGTGTCGCCTATCATTTCGAGTTGTCATTAGACCAGCAGGCGCTTATACGACAATAACCTTTGAAAATGGCCAAGCCATTAAAAGGCTGTTTTCATGAGGAATCGCCATGTAAATGACAGTAAAGTTACTGCAAATATTCCTTGATATGAAAACGGGAGTTGCCTGTGACCATATTTTTGCACACAACACACTCTTGTACTGATAAAAATCTGCTTATCTCCCCCAGCAGTGTAACATGGAGTCCCACTTTTTGCATTGGCGCATGCTCTCAGATCCAAAATGCAATTGTTTCAGAATGAACTACTGCACCCACGTTCATCAACACATCCGGTAAAAGAGCTGTCAGATGTACATTTGTACGTCTGTGAATTCTGAGCTGTTGGACTGTAGCTACACACAGATCGGTCTAGTGAGAACCTGTCTCTGAGGTCACGTGCTCCTGACAGCGAGGTAGAGATGCATGTTGGAAGCAGGCTTTCAGAGTACAAAGCGGGATCAGGACGGAGGACATGTGACCAGAGCTACATGTTGCACTTCAGGGATCACCGGAGTTAGAGATTGTTCATTAAAAAGTGATCACAGCTCATTCAACAATATAGCAAAGCTTTATAGTACCATTGTAAAAATGAAAAGATTCTAAATTTAGGAGAAGAGAAACTATGAAAAATGTTTCTTTTTATCAAGGAATGACATGCTTGTTTTCTTCATTTGGAATATAGCCCCCTGTGTTTTTAAGATGCCATATGTTTTTAAGATAAGAGTTGTATTTTTGAGAAACATTTGACGTGTTTATATACGCATCGCTTATTATTAGCTGTCATTGTTCAGTTGACTGAATCTTTTAGTTTAGCTGGGAAGACTCCTGAACAACACTGGTATCTCTTCGTGTTGGAACTGTAGTGCGTCTTGGTCGCCCGTCTCACCACACATACAAACTAAAATTCCCAGCATACCTGCTGACTCACCGCTCAGTGAGCGGAGGTCATTATAAAAACTCAAGTTCACATTCAACGTACATCTGCTTTGATGTTTATTTTGCTCAACAACAACATGAATTTCTCTTTTAAATGGGTCACCATGGTAATGCCTCAGCATGAGTCGTGTGCCTAATTTAGCAGATGGTGAAAGGAAGGAACTGTTGATATCAAACTGACTCCGGCAGGCACTGAACAGAAGTACAGGTCTCGGGATCGTTTTTCACCTCCTGTATTATTGAGAGATATTTAAGAAGCGGGTCAGGTCAGTGGCTCTGGACAGGACTCGGTGTCTTTGAAGCCAAACTCAAGACTTTGGGACGGAGAAATAGAACACTTATCCTAATTATTTTCGTCCATGAACAAGTACCAGCATACAGTGACTTTATAAAGGGATATTGGTGTTGTACCATACTCTGACATCAATGTGTGCCTCTTATGCGTTACCAAAGTAACAGAGCAATAGTGTGCAATCAGTGGAAAAACCCAGAAGATTCTTTCAAGACATTTAGTGTTGTAGCTCTGAATGAAAATAAATTCCTCCTGCTGTACAATTTTTAAAAAAGCAGTGTTTTGACCATAGTCCAGTGTCAGTGGAGAGAAATAAAAGATGTTCATGCTCATTTTTTTTTTACATTATATACATTATTTAGCATTCAAATAATAATTATTGGAAGAAAAAATCAATATAGACAGGCATGACTAGCAATAAATATTTTAAATGTTTGTACATGGGGGAGTCATTAATATTTCTGGTTGCCGTGCTTTTCTTTGATACACAGTCACAATTATCGAAAGGATTGTGTGGATTGTTGTGTTTTTTTCAAAGATTGCCAGGCTTTTTTTGTATTATCAGAGCGGTTGCTTAGCTCAATGTGACGGCACTGCATGAGAGGCAAAAAACGGGGTTACGTGTACCTTTGTCGAGAAGTTTAAAGCATGTGTGCCAAGGAAAACATGGACATTTTCATTCTTAAAAGTATTAACACTAACAGGGAATAAAACAGGTTTCAGGCAGAAGGTACAGACAGCACTAAAAAGTGCTTTTCCTTTTCCTTCCCTTTCATCCCAATAGTTAAGTAATCCATGAGAATTACACCAACCAAAAGCAAATACTGTAGTGAAACAAGCAAACAACTGAAAAAGTGGAAGTGGAAGTGCAAAGAAGGAGCTTTTCTGTCTTCTCATGTGTAAACTGCTCCTGGCTCAGTTTCCAGTTTCATCAGTCCATCTGTTCAGAGACCAAAGGTACCGTGTTAAGAAACCAGACTCACCTCACACCTTATCTCATTCGTCCTTTATCTGGCTCCCCTAGCAAAGTCTGGTTTCTCCTCACTGAGCGGCTTCTGGCCCAGTCTCTCTCGACCTCCTCCACAGTCCTCCGTCCAGCCTCCCCTCCAAACGGCCTCTCTCCTGTCCTGAAAGAGTCTTGTCTTAGAAGAGAGTTGCCGGCCGCAACCATCAGACCCTGGTTTTGTTGCACAGGCTGGGCTTGGGCCATCAGAGGCCGCAGAAACTGCTTCGCATCCAGCACATCTTTGTACTGGATCTCGGGCCGGATCATCCTGAGGCAGGACGTCCTGGTGGCATTGTCCAGTCCCGGCTGGAGCTCGTAGCCAAGTATCTTCACCAAACCACTCTGGTACGGGCGGATGTTTTTGTCTCGGATCCGATGAGCCTCCACGGGCTTGCCGCCGTCCCTGAGGCAAACCCGAGCCAGATCTTCCCGGCGCATCCTGAGAAGAGCTACTTCCTCCTCCATCTGGGCGTGACCAAAGCGATGTATTTCTTCCCAGAAGGTCCGGTTGAAGGATTTGTATAAGTGCCAGTCGAGGGCGTTCCACTGCCGCAGCTTCTCCCGCTGCTCCTCTGTTACATTGGTGGCTGTCTTGGCCTGTGAGCGCCCCCCTTTTCCACCGACACCAGCCGCCGTCGCCACTTTGCCCACCCAGCTCCCGCTCATCCCACCTAGAATGCTTGGCTTCTGCTGCCGGGCATTGAGGCTGAATGAGACGACGGCGTCCAACGGCCAGCAGAGGGCGTGTCTCAGCAGGATCATGGACTGGTCAAAGTACTCGGACACTAGAATCAGCTTGAAGGTCTGGCGGATCATTTGCTCCGCTCGCCGAGCCAGTGCCTCTGAGAAATTGGCATTGTGGTCCATGCCAAAGTCAAACAGCAACACGTTTCGGGCATAGTGGTTGTTGCGCAGACGAGGGTCGTAGTATTTCCTAGGGTCGTCAGCAAAGTCGCCCAAGGTCTTCGCTTTCCGAAAGGCAGGTGCTACCTCTTTATAATAGGCAAAGGAGGACTCGGCCAGAGCAACCGGGTTCCTGATGATGGAGAAATAGAACGTGTCTGCAGGCATCACCTTTTCCACCTACAAAAACAGAAAAGGAGAAGTTGCAGTCACTGATAAGTGCTATTAAACATAATGCCATTTGAATTTTTCGGCTGAGTTGAAAAATCAACTATCTATAGAGGTGGTAAGCATTCTGACTCACATTTAAGATTAAAAAATCTATGCCTTTTAAAAAAAACACACTGCTCTTCCTCCTCTTCTTTTCACAACAACTCACCTCGGGCTTGTTAAATCTCATGTGATTGCCCATGATGTGGTACTCCATGGCTCCTCGACCTCGGTAACCTTTAACCCTGTGGGCGTTGAATGGGAGTGGGTATCCCAGCTGGTAGCCCAGTGGCAGGGCGAAGCGGAGGTTGCGCTCCTCCCCAAAGCGGTACAGCATGTTGAGCACCGTGCTGCTGGCTGTCTTGTGTGTCTTGAGGAACATGATGTGGGTGTGGGGCTGACAGGAGCCCAGAGAGGGCCCCTGGGCATCAGGGGACGTGAAGATGGAGCGACCAGCTGTGTGGATGCTGATTGAGGACGAAAGAATATCCCATTTCAAACTTTGAGCGTTGAAAACCTTGCAGTTGACCAAATTTATTTATGTAATGTGCAAAATAATGACTGGTAGTGCCCACTCTGCCTTGGTTCGTCTAGACTCCCACAGACATGTTTGAGAGTCACAGCAACTTGTTTTTCAATCTTCTCTTAATCCTATTATTATTAATTAACTAAATGAACAATAGAACATTTCTGAATTTAATAGTGCCCTGGCTGAGGGAATGTTTCTTGATTCCATAAAGCCACATTTTATCTAGATCGGAAATACCAATGTTGGCATCCCACTAATAATGACATTTTAAATCATTACGTCCAGCGTCCGTCTGGCTCTGGTGCGTAGGTCAGTAGGAGGGCAGCATACTTTAGAATGCCAGTTGTTTTGCTCAGAGCGCACCAGAGACATGCTCTCAACAGGCACAGGGACTGAAACCTGAACCTCCCTCAGGGACCTCGGAACCAGATATTTGAACCGGGTTAGAGTGAAGGAGTCAAATGCAGAGCTTTGAAGAGGCCAGTTGCGCAACAAGGAGGGAGGGGTCAAAGTCAATGACTATTTCAGGGTTAATAGTATGCAGTAACTTGGTATTTATCCCAAAATGATATGTAATTTTGTTACTTGACAAAAAAAGGTTATTTATGAAAATAAAGTTCCAAACTTCCAAAGTGTCAGCACTGTATTTTAACAAAAAGCAGCTGCAGAAGAACCACACAGCTTTTTTTTCAATTTGACAAATAAATATTTTTTTCAAGCAAACACAGGTTCAATCTCAGTAGATTTGTGTTAACTGAACCGTCCAGGCTCAGTCCCATATGGGTGTGGGCACCATCCAAAAGATGACCAGGAGGAGAAAGCATCAAGCACACGCAGGCATCGACCCTATCAGCCTCACAGTTGAGCTATATTTGCATGGAACTAGATTTTTGGCACAACAACTTCTGTCTATGTTTGGTAAAGACGTATCCGGTGATTAGGCTTAAGACAAGGACCCTTAGCTCCTACATTATTCTCCTCAGTTCCTCATTGTGGCTTTTCTTATGGTCACATGGTGAGCAGATGCTGTGAGCAAAAACCAAAATAGTTGACCCATGATGCCTTGGTTGATAGCTGTTCACATGCACAGTTTGTGCTTCAATCGCATAATAAAATGAGGTGAAGAAAACAACAGTAAACACTCAACGAGAGCAACTTGTCATGGTGTGGATTTATTTCCTGTCTTATTTTGTAGTTTCTGCTTCTTGTCTCCCCGGGTAACTTCACTTCCTGCCTTGTCCTGTCATCCCTGTGATGGTCTGATAGTTTCCACCTGTTTTCAATCACCTGCACCTCCCTAGTGTATTTAAGCCGTGTGTGTCTCTTATTACTTGTCCCGTCATTGTCTATTGTCCTGGATATCCCTAGTTCCTGCCTGCCTTTTTGCCCCGGTTCCTGTGTGCCTGTCGGCCTTTTGCTTTTTTGACTGTTAAAGTCTTTTTTCGTTTAAAGTCTGCGTTTGAGTCCTGCCTTCCCCACATCCCTGACACAACTATTAAAGATGTAGGTGTTTGGCTTTTGACAGTTTCTACGGCAAACAACTGGAATGAAAAATGAGACACTTCTGCAAAAGCTAAAAGAAGAGTACAGTGCGTAAATGCAATAAGGTACCTCTTGTTGAAGATGACCCCCAACAGCTGGCCAGCGAAGCCAATAGCAACAAAGATTAGCAGCGCTTTCCACATCCAGACTGGACCCACCCGACCACCAACCAGCCACCGCAACATCCTAGAAGGAGGGGTGGAAGGGCAGGTAGGTAAAAATTGGATTGGTAGGTTGATGGGTTGATTGAAAGAGTAAATGAGTGGATAAAGAGATACAAAAGGTAAAAGTGGAGACAATGAAGGGTAAGAGAAAATGTTAGAGGGGAGTGGAGGAGGGCAGGTGAATCAGGAGCGAGGGAGGGTGTATATGAGAGAAGCAGAGTGGAATGCTGGATGGAGGGACAAAGGGATGAATGAATGGATGGATGGATGGATGGATGGGGAAGCAGAGATGATGTCGTGAGGTGGAGGAGGGGGACGAGGGGAGATGATGTCATATGAAAACAAAGAGGAAATAAAGAGGGGTAGAGAGCAAAAAAGAAGGGATACATAGAGGGAGACATTTGGATGAGTCGTGAAGAACACCATCATTACATTACAGGTCATTTAGCTGATGCATTTATCCAAAGCGACTTACATTGCATTTGTGACCCATTGTTTTTATATTTTAGCCCAGGGAGCAATTAGGGGTTAGGCGTCCCCCTCAGGGACACTTCGACATGGGACATGGACACGGACCGCCAACCACCGTCGACACAAGGAGGAAAAGTGGCCTCAAAGCATCCAGAGATAAAGAGTAACACTGATATGTCCAGAATTCTCGGGTCAAAACGCCCGCTGTTAGATTTGATGATATGTTCCTTGCCATATATATTTTTGACTCAAAGGGATACGCAAACTTTTCACCACATCACTCCAAATAGCTCCTCGGCAGCAAAGCGGCAAAAGGAAAAAATAACCGTCCAATCAGCGCCGAGCATGTAGATGAAGCGCCTAATGCGAACATGCCGGCTAGCCCCGGGCTGGAGAGAGGGATGAGAAAGAGGCTGCCTCTGTGCAAACAAGGGGTCCGGTCATTGTGGATCGATCATCAGAATTCACGGGATTGTGATGAATGTCACTTTGCAGGAGCAGAAAACTAGGTCTGTAATAAGCACACAATGTTCCAACGTAACAGTGAACAACTGCATACTTGTGTGAAGCTGAATGCGTGAGTGGGTGACCACTTCAGAGTATTTGGATACTACATTGTGGATTTATAGTTCCAGCGAAGGCAGTCGATAGCAGAGAGGTCTGCTCTGGCCCCCTCCTGCCTTGTTACAAATCAACAACATTAGGCAGATAAGCACACATGGGTGCAGCTGAAATGTATTTAACAAAAACAAATGATTTCTTACATACTTTAGTTGATACTATTACTATGTTTTGAAGAATAGTTAGAATTGCTATAGGGTGATGTAAGTTCTTAAAACGGTGGTGTGTGTGTGTGTGTGTGTGTGCGCGCGTGTGCGCGCGCGCGCACACACACACACACACCAGCATGTCTTCGCTGTGGCTGGATGACAGCCACTAGAAATATGAAACAAATATGCACCGTATGCATATTAACATGTGGAAGACAAAGGTAAGAATCCCTCTATGGTCTCTAACACACAACACGAGCAGTGCTGCACACAGAACAGTGGCTGGCCAGTCTCCACCACAACACAAAGAAGCCTTCAGTGGACATCCGAGCCTCCATTCCCACCCACACATTCACATATGCGCGCTATAAGACACGACAGTTTGAACTAAATGAAAATAAAACGTGCAGAAAAGCCTTTGATCCCCCTTCCCGTACACCACCCACACATTCTCCTCTTTCTCTGCGGGTCCACAGCGCAGCGCCACCTTTTTTACTCCCCACAATCACTGCATCCCAGCCCGCCAGAACGTTCCCCGACGCCCACCCCCCTCCTTCTCCTTCCTCCCCTTCTCTCCGACGGGTCCCGCTAGCTTTAGCTCAACGTTACCTGGCTCTCCGTCTGAAAATCATCGCTGTATCCCCAGGCCGGCGTCGGTGTTATTGTGCGTCTGCAGCAGAGAGCCCGGAGCATCTCGAGAGGCGTTCGGCTGCAGCTGCTCCGCCGCCGGGTACAAAGCAGGCCGTGGACGCCTCTGTACGGCCCCTGCACGGATCCCGGGTCCGTCTTTAGGATGCTGATAGCTGCTTTGGTACTGGCCAAGGGTAGTAGCACGGACAGCTCGAACGATTTATTCTCTTCTAACGTCCGACAGACAGACACACACACACACACAATGCGGGCAGCGGGGTGCAGAAAGACGAGAGTGTGTGCGTTTACTGGTTCCAAGCACTTCAAAATAAAATACCGTTTTCGCACCCGCCGCAAAACGATCCACAAAATAGAAAAAGGCAACATTCGTCAAATAATTATCTTAAAGTTTTTTTAGTGCGTGCACGATTTTTGTTTCTCCTTTCTTTAAGTTATTTAATTTCTACATAGGCCACCCTCAGAAAAACAACTGCGCTCAACTCAGCAGACACTTGCATGTTAGTGCACGTATAAGCTGACATTTACGGTATTAAACAAGTAACCGGAATAAAAGCTATTTAATGAAAGATTCTGGACAATGACTGAAGTATGGGTGTTCAGGACCAGGAATTATTTTTACAGAACAAATTTGGGGACTTGTCAAATTAAAAATATTTTTAATTACCGGCAATGCTATCATAAAACCTAAAAAATATATAATTGCACACCTAATATCTTTATATGTTTGATGTAAAAGATGGAAAAGGTACTCATAATTTATCCGCCTATACCATCAAATTACACTTTAAAATGTGCATGTGCGCCACTCCCTTCATCATTTTAATTATTACACCATTTAATCAGTATTTATCAGTTTATAAATATACCTACAGCAGTGCTATTATTTGGTTACATGTCCCGTGGCCATTTTCACTTCAATTAGGCGCTTTTGGTAGCCATCCACAAGCTTCTGGCAAGCTTCTTGTTGAATCTTTGACCACTTCTCTTGACAGAATTGGTGCAGTTCAGGTAAATTTGATGGCTTTCTGTCATGGACTTGTTTCTTCAGCATTGTCCACATGTTCTCAATGGGATTTAAGTCAGGACTTTGGGAAGGCCATTCTAAAACCCTAATTCTAGCCTGATTTGGCCATTCTATTACCAGTTTTGATGTGTGTTTGGGTTCATTGTCCTGTTGGAAGACCCAACCTTCGGGCTGATGATTTTAGGTTATCTTAAAGAAGGTAATTTACTCTCTGTAAAGCACTAGTTCCATTGGCAGCAAAACAGCCACACAGCATAATGCTACCACCACCGTGCTTGGTGGCCTCACCTTTTCTCCTCCAAACATATTGCTGGGTGTTACGTCCCCTGACGTGACGCAATTCGCGGCACCCAAAACACGCTTGACTGTGGACACTGACACAGGTGTTCCAGCAGCTTCTAATTCTTGGCAGATCTGCTTTTTGGTGGTTCTCGGTTGACTCTTCACCCTCCTGACCAATTTTCTCTCAGCAGCAGGTGATCGCTTGCGTCTTCTTCCTGATCGTGGCAGTGACAAAACCATGCCATGCACTTTATACTTACAAACAATTGTTTGCACTCTTAGGACTTGCAGCTGCTTTGAAATGGCTCAAAGTGACTTTCCTGACTTGTTCAAGTCAATGATTGGCCTTTTCAGGTCCATGCTGAGTTCCTTTGACTTTCCCATTGTAGCGTTTCTGGATGTTTGTATCCAATGAGCCCTATTTAAATGGCCTCAGAGACGTCACCAGCTGTAGTCGCTCACAAGAAGTTAAGAGGCCTCGCTATAAAGCTCATTTCATTGACACAACTTTCTATGTCACCGAAATTGCTAATTCATGTTGCTGCATGTATATTTTTGACCCAGCACTTGTCACTTTTTTCTGTTAACCCATAACAAAGTCATGAAAGAACCAAACTTCATGAATGTTTTTTTTTTTTTGCGATTGGAACAGATACTACTTTACTCAGTTTTAGAAATAACTGGAAACTCAAGAGAGCCATGACATTATGTTCTTTACAAGTGTATGTAAACTTTTGTCCACAACTCTTGTTGTGATTGTTCCCCTCAATCTGTCCAAAGTGACCCGACGAGAATTGATAACCTTTCAGAAAATGAAACTCTAAAGTATGATTTAATTTTTTTTAATATCTTGTTATTTGCAATCCTGACTGTCTTAAATTGAGTCAGTGTGCGGAGCAGGATGCAGCTCTCACTCTAAATTTAGACGTCAAGCCTCTAATCAGTTAACTGGAGCCTTTGTTTGAGGAGCACAGCAACAGCTGCTCGGGACCAGTCGCCTTGGTGAAGGACGGAGGAGCTCCATCTTCTTTCACCTTATCCGTATGGCTCAGAACGGGTGCTCACAACGTTGATCGACCAGTCGATCTCAAAGGCAGTACCAGTCGTGCCATCGATACAAAAAATGAAGTCACATCGCGGTCTACCACGGGAGAGGACCGAAACTAATGCTAATTAGCGATCCTTGCTTACGAACGGACACACTTATTTTCATTCCAAAGCAACCCAGGCTGACTCCAGTAAGGTAATAGAAGGTTCATCCGACTCATCATTTACCGGCCGGTCCCCCCTCCCCCACGTAAGCCGGCACGGAGGGAAAGGGCGGGTAGATCGCCATGACCTGGTTAGCTAAAAAGTAGCATGCGAGCCGGAAAAGTGTGGCCACCCCTGGCTCAGAACATAGCACTGCGTCAAGAAACTGAGGCGTTGCATTGTGCGCGCCACTGCCTACTTGTCAAATACCAGCACATCCACCGAATGGTCCACACTAGGTATCACGTAAGCGCCAGTTTAGGACGTAGCAAGGACGGCAGGTTCTCAATTGCTTGGCGTCCTATCGGGAAGATAGTTTTTGGAAAGAACACCATAGTCAGGCTTAGGGAGCGTGCGTGTCCCCAAAGTCCTGTGTTTGTCCCACCCAATCTACCTCAGGTGTGTGTGGACTCTATAGCTTCTCATCCTGCTGCCATGAAGTCAAATAATAACGCAGGAGGCTTTACCTTAGATACGGTTCAAGCCTGGTGCTGAGCGGCACGTTGGTATTTGATAAGTTCAGTGCTGAAGAACTATTCATGATTAAACGTCACGCTTTCCTGCAGCGAGTTTTGTCTACGCTGGCAGGAAGTTGGCAGGTCACAGCGAACTTGCTGTGTTTGCTTGCTCATTTCTAACCGCTCTTTCTTCTTGTCATCAAATGTATATTTATGGGCTGATGTGTTTTGAAAGGAAGAAGAGGAAGTGATTTCCAGCCGCAGACAAGCAAGTCAGAAACAAAGATCTGAAGTAGGACACACAGTTTCCGATCTCTACTACTACCAAGGCCAGGCCTTAATTCTTCACACATGTTGCCTGTAGCCCCTGCATTGAGTATGCAGCAGTATTCTCTTCCACAGCCCCCGCCCTGCTGCCTTCTAGCCTCTCACGCACTTACACATTATTCAGTAAAGGCAAGTGAGGGGGCCACAGTTTATAAACCCTTCCCTAGATTGACTCCCTTTCCAGCTCTGTTTTGCAACTTTTCACAAATTCTCAACCACTAAAAGGGCCATCCTTCACTGTAGCAGCAACATTTGGATTATTTAAAGGGGCCAGTGTGTTGCAGTCTGGGGTCTAGTGGTCAAAGTAGAATATACACAAATAGTTTGGTTCAGCTCAAGCTTTGGCCAAATGTTTTTTTTATTTTTTTTTATTCTGGAGCTGGAGGTAGGAGGTTAGTGCTGGTACAGTTTTAAAAAACTGTAAGATGATGTTTTGGCCATAGGTGGGCAGTGAACAGAGCAGGACAGCTGTGTTCTTGTCATTAAACAGATGACACATCACCGCCCAGTGGCACAGTCCGTTACTACATTAGTAGTGAATTCCTTTTAAGACCAAAACTTGTTTTCTAGTAAATTCTGGAATATACAGCATCTTAAAGTTACTGACTCCAAACACAAAACTTCACAAATGTAAAATAGATGTGTTTTCTATAAATCACAGGGTATTTTGCCAATTCTTAAAGAAACTGATGCAATGCAATGAGGATAAAGCCCTACATACTTATCGAACCACCCTCTGGTGCTCTCGTCCACTAACCTGGTGCACTAGGTTTAACCTTGCCTAGTCAGGTCAGTTAATGCTCCAGGATCAGTCAAACAAGATTACCCCCAAACGGTTGGCCCAAATTCCGGAAATATAAGCCGTGCTCTGTGTACTTGAGTCTATAACACACAGGTAAGACCAGCAGGGCAGTGACCATTAGATATGAACTCATCAAGGTTTTTAAAGACAATCATTAATAATAATAAAAGCCAGAAAGCATCTAAGTGGGATAGTGCCTCCTAATTAACCAGGAGACAATGTGGTCTTAATGTGATTAACTGCATAAACCACCCACAAGTCAGTGCAACAGCCGGGAATTAACAACAGGAACCTTAAAGGGACAGTTACAAAAAAATAAAATAAACATATTGATCCTTTTACCTGTAGTGCCAGTCATCAAATAAATAGTTTGGGTAATATTAGCCGTAGAAGAGTCTGCTGTAATATAATGGAACTATATGGCACTTGGCCGGGGGTGCTCAAAAGACAGTTTAATTTAGGTTTACAGTTTAATTTTGGGGCCATATGGAACTGCCAGCAAAAAGGTCATGAGTTAGCTTGAATAACCATGCAATTCTTTCTGAAAACATCTGAGACATCGCTAAATGTATAATATTAACAGATATGTTGAGCATGGCAAAACACACTAAAATCATCTAGGTGCATAAATAGCAGTACGGGTAAAAGGATGAATACATTTTTTCATATGAGAATTTTTTTAACTATGCAAAATTGAAAGACATAATTTGATTTTTCGCTGGTTTGTTTGTATTTATGGTCTGTAGCATTACATTGCCAGAGTCACCGGCTACCATTGTAAAGATTCTGCTCAGTATTTAGTTAGAAGAAGAAGGAAAAAAAAGTTTTTATAAGTTGTCAAGATTTGAATCCCAAAGTGTGCATCTGTGATCGCGTGTCCCCCTGCGCGCTGTTGCGCGTGAAGTGGACTCACCTTGTCATAGGACCCAGTCGACGCGGACCGGAGCGTAAGCAGGGACAGCGGTGCAGTTTGGTACGCGACCTCTGAATGGTTCTCTCCGGTGGAATCGCCGCGGAAGACTGCTGATGGAGTCTGTTGAATTCCCCGGGCCGCAGTACAACTTCTTGGCTACACAAACCGGCTGTTCCCCGTCCGCTGGGGCAGAGGCAGCGCGAGCAGCGCGGACCGGTCATCGAGAACTCTCCGGTGGATCCACGAATTCCTCTCCTCCACCTCCTCCGCCTCCTCCTCCTTCCCCTCCCCCGAAGAATGTACGGTAATGTATTACCGTACATTCTTCTCCTCCTCCCTCTCTTTCCGTTGACAGCAACTCCTCTCCATTAGTATGGAATGCCGTTTTAGTCAAGACGGCATTCCATACATTAGCAGCTGAAGTATTTCACCTCCCCCCGCCCCCCCCAACATTTACTATGGGAGCCACATGAGTTTATCACATTGTATCGGCCCGTCCCTTTCTGTCTTTTAAGATCAGTCTATGCTCGTCTATAAACCCCATTCACAGGTTGTGTTATGGTGTGTGTGACGAGTAGCCGTATTCATTTGAAATATTATCGTAGTAGAAAGCCTAAGTCTTTGGGAAATTAATCATGGCAAAAAAAAGGTAAGAAAACAAAAAAATAACTCCTCCCTAAAATCCCCGACAACGTCGAAGTGATCAACAGCCCTCCCT